CACCGTTGATCACCCCGGCAACAGCTCCGGCCCTGGTCCCGGCAACAGCTCCTACCCTGGTGACCAATCCTGTCACCGTGACCGCTCCCACACCGACAAACTATGGAGTATCATCATATCTTGATCTGTAAGCGCTTTTTGATGTTTGATAAAGTATTTTATTTACACATTACACAGTTAAAGATGTTTATAATTATATTAAATGACCTTTTATTTGTTGTTTGAAAACTGCTCAGAGGTTAACATATGGTTGGTTGGTTGATTATAAAGTGGACTCATTTACAAGAACTTGGAGAGGCACCCCTTGACGACATAAAGAATTTGTTTTAACTTTTTTATATGAAAAGCATCAATAGTTAATACTCAATTCCATATTAAGAGAAAAGTTCAATTTATACCTTTTTGTCCAAATATTCCCGCTTGACCTCTGGCCAAGTCACCAGTGGCGCATATGCTAGTATAAAACTAAATAACCCGCAGAAGAAGAAGCTGACGGTAGCGGACTACTACAACACAGTCCACCTGCATCAGACCATGATAACGGTGGGAACCCACATAGGGAACCCTTACACCAACCCTCATCATATTCACCAAGTGATGCTGATTCATTTTAAGGAGTTCGTCAAGGCATACCAGCAGCCATATCCTGTTGGTAATCCTGAATATGACAACATGACTCTGGCATGCCGAAACGTAGCGAATGGGACTGCCACTGCTCGTAGGAGCCGCAGAAACCCCGATGGTAGAGATTCCTTACATGAGGTTAGTACGCCGTGCTAGTCCAGCTTGCTACATACTTTCAATTATACATTTACGTATGCTAGATAATTCCAATCTGTGTTCTATGTTTAAAATCACATCTAGCCAAGTCGCAGTCATACACATTTATCCAGGAATCATAAAAGCTATAGCAGCTTTACTGGACGAGACGAAGCGTGCTGCCGGGTTTTTTGGGATTCCTCCACACCATCCCTCTAAATTCTTAGACTCCAAGTGGAGGTGCAAGAGTTGCAAAGTGGACAGTCAGACAGTGCTACCAAGAAGCACCCTGCAGGATCAGGACCACCATGCAGAGGGGTAATGCTGGCCCTCACAAACTTTGCTGCTGGATTTACCCTAGACACAGACTTGTCGGATATTCAAAGGTGTGTTTTTTGAAATTGTATCTTACTAGGTAGTATCGGCTTGCAACTTTTATTGGGATTGCAAGGGCAGAGTGAAACTACAATGATCAACCCTCAGGTTGGCTAGTTACGCTGATCATGACGAGAGGCCAAGGATTACCGTGGCCCACTTCAACACCTTCCGGGACCAGGTAATATGGTCGGGTGCAATAAAACAGAGGAATATAAAAGTATTTAAATACATTTCCACACTAAACAAGGTATAACACATTTTAAGAGCCCCTAGATATTTAATTTAAAAATATTTTCTCCAGGTTCACTGCCTATTGAGGGATTTTCCTAGAGTTTCCTCTTTTCATGCTGGTGAAGGTATTTACTGCTTCCTTGCTTTTGTAAAATTGTTAAATGTGTCAACTCGTGAATATAAAGCTAAAGGGGGTTTTAAGAATTGTTTCATCTTAAGTTCATACCTGGTAGTGCAGTGGTAGTGATACCAGTAGTAGTGTTAGATTGCCCGACCCCAATCGTGGATTTCAATCACGTGCTTGTTATAGGTGGTTATCAGCTGTTATGTTCTGAATATTATAGCGCTCATTGTAAGACGTATGTCCAATGTTGGTATGGTTTTATTTAAATTAGTTACCCAGAATTTTATTAAGATATTGTAACGTAAGACTTAAGAGCTTTTTGAGTTCCGTTATTTTTTTTGAGTTGTAATTGTTATTCAAAACATATAATTTCAGGTGTTAAAAGCTTGAAGCAAGACACATTACGATCGATGGCGTTCGCTGACTGATGCGATGCATTGCTATTTACTGCTGACTAGCTTATCCTACGGAGACGAAACTTTGTTACCTCTAATCAGTGATGAACACCAATTAGAATTAATCTATTTAATTCACATGATAACTGATAAGGGCCCTAGCACTTGTAGTTTAAACTATTCGAATCGATTTTTATTGAATAACGACATTTTTCTTTTTCTGATCTATTATTTGATATTAGATCTGTCAATGTAGCAATGTCCTCATCTTATATTTATTGCTGCGATGTTTTACTTTATTTTATACTGAGACTAATTCGTGAATTTGACAAATTTACAAGTTTTAAATTTTTGATAATATGTGATGTTTCGCCATATTTATAAATTATTATATGTGTAATTAGTATTCAATAAATACACAATGTGTATTGTATTTGATAAAAATGTTAGCTCAATCTTTGGCAATTCTAATCTTATATTTTTATTTTATAATTCGAAAATTTCTGTCTGTGTGTACAACCGCTCCCGACTCCCGTGCATAGTAAAGCAGTAAAGCAGGTGGAGACTTGCACGTGCACGTGTTAAGAATTTGGAGCTAAATTTCGATCATTTACTGTTGCGTTTAGAGTGTTCTACAAAATAATAGCCTGTATCTTTGGTTGTGATTTAAATTTATGATATGATAAAAATTGACTTCTAGATTTCTCCCTGTGACAACAGATTTTCTAGTATGTCTATAGAGTAAAATACATACATTGCATACAGTTTCAGTTTTCTAGTAGTAGTAAGTTTTAGTGTTTTTTCACATCTCGCTCACGATCAGTAACCACTCACTATAATTTCACTCACAGTGTGTATACACCATCACACATGTATTGTATCTTTTACCTTATCATCTATTATCACTGTACATGTCATTCCATCACACGATCACAATCACGTACTTGCTGTTCAATTGATGTTTTAAGTTTATTGAATAGCAGATAGAGTATTTGTGTATATATAGATTTTGATTATAATTTTAGTCTAGTATTTGAACAATTTGTTGTCGTTTAGCAATTTTTGACTTATAAATTTTATGGGACAGTTTTCTCACATATTTACCAATTTTGTCAGCATGAATACGAAGTTGTTACTTTAAAACGTCGTTCATCCTAACAGTGCAGTATCATTTGTCGCAAAAAATCAGAATAAAACCTTTATATGCATCACATACGATGAAATCAAATGTTATACTTCGATCAATTGTGCGCAATAACAGTTATCACGAACATCTTCTAGACCGGCAACAGAAATCAAATTAAAATTATGCTAAATTCATCTTGTATTGTACTGATAACCATTACGATTCACTTGATGTCAGAACAAATTCGGGACCTAAGACTGGTGAAATGGAAAACATCTATATTTTCATACTCACTAACCATCAGAAAAACCAATTTTCGACATCTTGACCCACTCCGGCCACCCCCAGGGGCCACGCCCATCCCAAAATTACTGAAATCTAGGGCAAATCAAGACTGAGAATCTTTACCCTTGTAGGGGATTTATGTTTCGGGGTATTTGGAACATGTTTAGGTGGTTTAATAGTTAGTACCTGCCCCAAATCATCAGAAAAATTAAGTTTCGACATCTTGACCCACTCAGGCCATCTTGACCCACTCAGGGGCCACGCCCATCCCAAAATTACTGAAATCTAGGTCAAATCAAGACTGAGAATCTTTACCCTTGTAGGGGATTTATGTTCCGGGGTATTTGGAACATGTTTATGTGGTTTAATAGTAAGTACCTGTCCCAAACCATCAGAAAAACCGAGTTTTGACATCTTGACCCACTCAGGCCACTCCCAGGGGCCACGCCCATCCCAAAATTACTGAAATCCAGGTCTTATCAAGACTGAGAATCTTTATCCCTGTAGGGGATTTATGTTCCGGGGTATTTGGAACATGTTTAGGTGGTTTAATAGTAAGTACCTGTCCCAAACCATCAGAAAAACCGAGTTTTGACATCTTGACTCACTCAGGCCACTCCCAGGGGCCACGCCCATCCCAAAATTACTGAAATCCAGGTCTTATCAAGACTGAGAATCTTTATCCCTGTAGGGGATTTATGTTCCGGGGTATTTGGAACATGATTTGGTGGTTAGATAGGAAGTACCTGACCCCAACAATCAGAAAAACTAAGTTTCGACGTCTTGACCCACTTAGGTCACTCCCAGGAACAATTCGCAACTATTTGTAGGGGATTTGAAATCCGTGTCAAATCCCCTACAAAATTCAGCGAAACGTCTTCTGCTGCTCGGAATTATAACGCGCAATTTAATAATTTGTAGACAAAGTAGCGCGCCGCGAACCACGCGGAATATCGATCGTCTCTTTGAGTATTTCAAACTCTGATGACAAAATAAATTGAGTGTGACTCTAATAATGGATTAAAAATTACGGCATACGGCAAATCTTGTGTAAAAAAAACTGTGATCAACAATATGCTGTAAAAAATTCGTCAAAAAATTTAAGAACACGATGCCCCGCCCAATTTTCTGAAGTGATAATTTTGGGACTTTGAGTTTGACGGGCTATAACTTTCGCTAGGAACAGCCATTTGCCCAAAACTTGGTACCATATGACTCTACTCAATGAGACCTTTCCAATGATGTATAATATGTTGGGTTTGAGACATAAAATGTCACCCACAAGTTGGCGCTCTTAGTACATACACTAATCTGCATACTTATAATAAACAGCAAAGACTGGGGACCCAGGTTATATTGAATATATGTAATAAAATAAAACATCACGGATCGGGAAATTGAGCGGCCATCCACAAAAGAAAAGCGGTCGCATTTCTTGTTACAACAGAGACCAGAAATTTTTTCGGTATTACTCCGGAGAAATAATATTGACCCCTCAATTCCATACGTTTTGCACTCTGGATTTAATACAAATTCAAAACAATAGATACTGTCATAACTAATAATTTGTGTAACGTTAGATGCATTATGAAAATCAATAACCTCATCATAATGATAGTCGAACTCGCAATCATAGGAAAAATATGAGACCATCAGTGTTTACGAATGTATGAATTTTTTGAAACTGTCATAATCGGCAATCCTAACACATGTGCTCGTGCTTACACACTCCATCTGGGCACCTTGTCAAGCCAGGGTTACATCCCTCATTTCCATCTTCATCATCTTTCTCCTCGCACATTTTACATGTCTTCTGGCACTGGTCTTCGGCAAAGTAGGTATATTTGCACCAAATCGTTCTACAGTCGGAATAGTTATCCTCGCATTTTATTTTGCAGTACCCGCAAGTATCCCGGCACCACTCAAAAGCAAATGATTCATGCTTGCACATATCTTTAACGCAACCTCTGCCCTTATCATTGCATGTAACGTTCTCATTATCGTCATCGTTCTCATTATCCTCATCGTTCTCATTATCCTCATTATCCTCATCGTTTTCATTATCCTCATCGTTCTCATTATCCTCATCGTCCTCATTATCCTCATCAACATATGTAGACTTCTTATCGTTTATTCCTTCGTCTTTCTTACTGGTTGCTTTAAGTATCGGGTAGCCGTTAAATTTCCAAATTCCACAGCTGAAGTCATCTCTTGCTATCTTTATAAAACCTTTGTCTCCCCATGTTTTACCCCACGAGTTCTTGAGAAGCACGTATTCCTCGGTATATCCAACTCCAGTTACTGCGTGATTAACATGATCACGGCAAGTGGGGTCTTTAAAGACACCACTCCTGTAAGCATAGAAGGCATTTGTTACTTGTATAGCCATCCAAAGAGGACCGTCAGCAAGAGCTGCGATGGTAGAACTTTCACCAGCGGACACCTCTTGTTTTTCGACGATCTTGTACGCAACAGCCGCATTAGGGGTTGTTGTTCTTTTACATTCGCCCATTTTATTCTCGTAAGGGTAATCTTTTTCAGCTGAAAGTCGACCTCCGTTGTTTTTTGAGTACACGTATGAATCAGAGGGCCATCCGCCTTTACAGCCATCTTGACTAATATGAGTGCAGGCTAAAAATTCTTGTTCTGAGAAGGCTCTCAATCTACTTGACTTTATTTTGTATCTTGATTCCATAGCACTTACTGCACCAAACGCCCAGCAAGCACCACACGAACCTTGACTTTTAACGGGTGTTACTGCTCCCTCTTTTACCCAGTTTACACTTTTGGGAGTGTATAGTTTAGTCTTAGACGAGGCTAACGGAGGTATGTTTGTGTTCGGTAGATGGCCTGTTGAGTTAAGTCCAAGCCATTTATGTTTCTCCCCGCTGCTCAGAGACGAGAAGAAGTTTAGTCCAAACTTAGCAGTTTCTTCTGGTGCAGAATTTAAAGTTGAAACCAACTGTGCATTCTTCTTAAACATCAGAAACCGAACCCTGTTCTCACTAGCGCCGAAATTGATATGCTCCTCTGCCTTGTATTGGCTGAACAGCTTTAATGTCTGTCCTGGAGATTGAAGAATCGACCCTAGCTTGAGCACAGGGACCTCCGAGATCGTTAATCCAACAAGGCATAATGCAATTGCTATCATAAACTGCCTCATCCCAATAACTTGATCGTCAACTCAATACTAAAGTATACTGTTTTAGTTCATTATCGATGCTACTGAAAGGTTTTGAAAGTTATTTATTTACAAGAATAAGTAAACAGATGCCATACATTTTTTGGAAACAAAATATAATGTACCTTATCGGACGTTATTTGACCGGACATCGCGTGAACGGACATACTTTAGAACGGACATTAAAATTAACTCTCGAAGGCATTCAAATTCATTAAAAATCAGACTTTTCAATTGATTTGTATTACAGTAAGCAAGAAAAGCAGTCGTTAAGCAGCACAAATGTTGATATTATTTAGTCTGACGATAGAAATTGAAATTGACTGAGATTTAAAACGACATTTGAGAAAATAAATCAATATCGTGAAATTAGCAAATTTGCTCCTTTATCAAAACAAATTTTATACTATGCAAGCTAGCTGATACAGCTCTGTGCATAATGCGTATCAGCCGTTAAGTTAAATGTTGTAATAAATTTAAAACACTTGTGGCATCGATAGAAATACAAAAAATTTATCAAATTAGTAATCCTTACATCATGACTTATATTATGACATTTAGTAAATGTTTTTTCTTGAAATTCCTTTTTAATTTTTTTTTGGAAAACGAAATTAGATATATACAGAATAGTATTACAGGTTATATATTATGAAAATCATCATTGCAAAAATAAAACCCAGTCCATGGGACTGAAAAAATTAGTTGACTTTCGATTCGAAAGAGTTAAATTCTAAATCATCCATGTTAGATAATTCGTAAGTTTTGTTTGAGGTATTTCTTGATCCTCTAACACACAATAAAATTAATCTCCTAATTAAAAATGATAATTTACACCGATAATAATTTATAATATCGTTGTAATTCTGCTTCTTCTTATAAGCAAGTTTGTTGCAAAGCAGTTTCTCAAATGTCCTGGCTTGAGGTCCCATGCCACCCGTTACTGAATATATTAATGGAGCGAATGACCCGTGCTCTACATTAAGTATTCTCTCGTTGTAGCATCGTGTTTTCTGTCTCTCGGCGTTCTCCATTGTCTTCTTTGTCGAATGTTGAGGGTAGGAATTAGAATTAGGATTAATTACCTTAACATCGAAAAAAGCCACTTGGCCCGGCCTATAGAAACCACGAGCTCTAATATCGGGTCTTGCCTGGTCACCGGTTAGTGTTGAGGACCTCTTGAACTGCTCTCCTTCTAGTTCTTGAAGCTGAGGTTCAACTTCCACGTCCGAGCAAACAGTGTTCAGCAAGCCAGCTAAAAAAATCCCTAATTTCATTGTGTCTGATAATGATGTAGCCACCAAGATGGCAATTTAGCGAATGGTTCACATCAAACGTTTTTCCGCATGGACATTGTAATGGCAAACGATCCAGATCTAAGTTGTACCGCAATCTGATAGAATCCCTGAATTCAGATTTATTTAGAACGAAACCATGTTTTCTAAGTGGTAAACATGAGAGCCAATTTGAGCTCCCTGGTTCGCTAATCTGCTCCAAAACCCTTGCAGTCTTCTTATCAACCTTTTTAAGTATCTCCTCTTGTTGTTCTTTATATTCCAAAACACGCTGTTTTAACATGTCTTGGAGCTCTTCTGTCGATTCCGTGTCAGTTGCAGCAAGAGATTTGCCTTTCATGGAATTGACCAGTCCCCGCGCTGCTGGAGGACACTTTGGTTTTGCTGGCCTTTTCATCGGATAACATTCACGGAAAAGCTCATCTCTTAAATAGTTGCCATTATTCATAACCAATTAGAATAATTTAATTTCACAATTTTCATAAGTTGTTCGCTGATTTTTACTTTAATTGGGTTCATTTAACGTAAAACAGCTTATTGGTTTTAACTTTTATAATTATATCTTTGTAAATAGCAATTTTTTGACTGTATATAGTATATTATACTTAAAGCACATTACTTAAGAAGTCCCTTTACTGTATCACGACAAAAGTCTTTTATGCAGGATGGTTATTGGTTATCGTAAAGACTCCCTTTTTAGAAAAATCCATTCCATTAAAGCACGCTCGAATATTTTTTCGCCACTCCAAAAAGCTATAATTCAATTGACTGACATATAAATTCAACTAAAAAGAATATTAATTTTGATTAAAATAAGGTATATTTTTATTTTAATCGCGCCACCAAAGTGGTTTGATACAATTTCAACTCTGATACTAACCCGTTACTCTAAATTTAGGGTTACTCGATTTTTGTACAATGCACTGTATAATTATTTAGATACGCATTTATTAATTTATTTGGTAACTCCGTCAAGCAGTTTTGCCGGCAGCAAGCAGGGTGACTAAGATCAAATTATTATTTGTATTAAATTTTTTTCAAATTTTTGAATCGATGTTTTCTTTGTTTCGACAATAACAATCAAGTATATATGAAAATAAAATCAAATTAATCTCAGTCCACTAAATCGCTTAATAAATACCCTTGCAATTTCCATGTAGGCACCACCCGTAATTTATGAATTTATTCTGAATTTCTAACTCTCATAATCAGCCGCAATCCTAACACATGTGCTCGTGCTTACACACTCCATCTGGGCACCTAATCAAGCCAGGGTTACATATCCCATTTCCATCTTCACCATCTTTCTCCGCGCACATTTTACATGTCTTCTGGCACTGGTCTTTAGCAAAGTAGGTATATTTGCACCAAATCGTTTTACAGTCAGAATAGTTATCCTCGCACGCAGTGTTCTCATTATCGTCTTCAGAAGAGTCTTCTTGATCTTCACTATTACCTTCATCGCCATATCCAGACTTTTTATCGTTTATTCCTTTGTCTTTCTTCCCTGTTGCTTCAAGCATCGGGTAACCCGCGTTCCATTCTTTCCACAGCCCACAGCTGTCGTGATTCCTTGCCACCTTCATGAAACCCTTTGCTCCCCATGTTTTACCCCACGAGTTCTTGATAAGCACGTATGTCTCAGTATATCCGACTCCAGTTACTCCGTGATTAGGCTGATCCCCAATGCAAGTGGTATCTTTAAAAACACCACTTCTGTAAGCAAAAAACGCATTAGTAACTTGTAAAGCTATCCAAATAGGACCTTCGGCAAGAGCTGCGATGGAAGAACTTTCACCAAGAGGCAGCATTTCCCCTCCGATGATTTTGAGCGCAACAGCCGCATTTGGTGTTTTTGTTCCTCTACATTCGCCCATTTTACTCTCGTAAGGGTAATCTCTTTCAGCTGCAAGTCTACCCCCGTGGTTTGTTGAGTAATCGTATGCCAAAGTGGGAAACCCGCCACCACAGCCATCTTGTTTCTTGAATGATTCTTCTCGACCCTGAGAAAAAGTGCAGTCTAAATATTCTTGCTCCGAGAAGGCTCTCAATCTACCTGACTTTATTTTGTATCTTGATTCCATAGCACCTACTGCACCAAACGCCCAGCACGAACCACACGAACCTTGCTTTTTAACGGTTGTTACTGCTCCCTCTTTTACCCAGTCCACACTTTTGGGAGTGTTATATGCTTTAGATGATACCAACGAAGAAATGTAAGTGTTCAAAGGACGGCCTGTTGTGTTAAGTCCGAGCCATTTATGTTTCTCCCCGCTGCTCTGAGATGAGAAGAAGTTTAGTCCAAACTTAGCAGTTTCTTCTGGTGCAGAATTTAAAGTTGAAACCAACTGTGCGTTCTTCTTGAATATCAGAAACCGAACCCTGTTCTCACTAGCGCCGAAATTGATATGCTCCTCTGCCTTGTATTGGCTGAACAGCTTTAATGTCTGTCCTGGAGATTGAAGAATTTGCCCTAGCTTGAGCACAGGGACCTCCGAGATCGTTAATCCAACAAGGCATAATGCAATTGCTATCATAAACTGCCTCATCCCAATAACTTGATCGTCAACCCAATACTAAAGCACAATGTTTAAGTTTATGATCGATTCTACTGAACTGTGAAAGTGTGAACGGTTTTGAAAACTATTTATTTACAACAATAACTAAAAGTATAAGTATAATTCAACGAATGTCATAAATTCGACCTTTTTGTGTCTGTTTTCCGTTACTGTTGCACCTTCATCAAATTAACTGTACCGTCTTCACTCTATGATGCAGGGACAAAAGGATTTCGCGGTTATTTTGGCCAAAAATCGCGATACCGCGAATTACATTTCGCGGTATATTAAACTATACATAAAATTTTTCGCAAATAATGGGAAAAATCGCGATTCCGTACATGCCGCGATTTCCTTTTGTCCCTGCTATGATGATAAAGTTAAACAATAAACATATGGCTACATAGAAATATAAAAGATTTTATAATTCAATATCAAATATGGAATTAACTGAGCGGCGCTCGGCCTGTCACTCCGCCATATTATCTCTCTCTCTCTCTCTCTCTCTCTATCTCTCTCTCTCTCTCTCTCTCTCTCTCTCTCTCTCTCTCTCTCTCTCTCTCTCTCTCTCTCTCTCTCTCTCTCTCTCTCTCTCTCTCTCTCTCTCTCTCTCTCTCTCTCTCTCTCTCTCTCTCTCTCTCTCTCTCTCTCTCTCTCTCTCTCTCTCTCTCTCTCTCTCTCTCTCTCTCTCTCTCTCTCTCTCTCTCTCTCTCTCTCTCTCTCTCTCTCTCTCTCTCTCTCTCTCTCTCTCTCTCTCTCTCTCTCTCTCTCTCCCTCTCTCTCTCCTTTCTCTCTCTCTCTCTCTCTCTCTCTCTCTCTCTCTCTCTCTCTCTCTCTCTCTCTCTCTCTCTCTCTCTCTCTCTCACTCTCTCTCTCTCACTCTCTCTCTCTCTCTCTCTCTCTCTCTCTCTCTAGACGTAAACAAACTCTAACCAAATAGGAAGTAGAAAAAATTAGAAATGCTCACGTATTTCCATTTATGTTTGTCACAGATTCCCCCTTAAATACCAGAGACCAGTGTCAGATAATGAGATTATGCTGCAAGGCTTATACTGAGACTGCGAGAATGTAATAATTCCGTGAGTTAGCACGCCGTGAGAACACGGTGTGTTAATTTACACGATCTTGGGGAGGTCGACACGTTTCGTTTAGGAGTAGAAATCCTTTCTGATATTACTTGCAACCATTACTCTTCGTTAAAATTCTTTCTGGTTTCGAATTCGAACGTTTAGTTTCAAGTCAACTTGTAGTATTAAATTACACTTTTATTCCTACATTTTTTCAAATAAATTGTTCATCAATGTACATATTATTGCAATCACATTTACACAATATAATACCAAAATAGATCTACAGTGTCGCTTCCAACGTGCTTTAAGTCTAACTTTTTGTTGAGTAGTTCCACCTCATAAGACTTAAATTTCACAATTCTCAGTTCTTGAAAATGATTCCCTGGTTCCAGCTGGCTACCGAGCAATATTTTTACCACGTTATCGTAAATTGTCCAAAATAATGTTTAAATAAGGAGCAGTCCTTGTGACGTAATTACTGAAAGAAGGATATAAAATGATGGTTAGTACAAAACGTGACCACATTTTACTACTATGGATTACTACTAGTAGTAGTGCACTAGATAATCCGCCTCGTTATTTATACTCAGTTAACACTTAACGTACTATACATCTGTTAACATCTGAATATACGTCCAGTTAATGTATATAAGTTTCTTACTACATTTTTGTTGTTTACAAGACTATTTGGTCTAGTTCAAACGTTCCAGTTACCCTGCCTATTGGTCGACATGACATTGTAACCTAGTAACAGTAACCTAACAACAGTGATCTAGCAAAAGTGACTTAGTAACAGTGATCTAGCAACAGTGACCTAGCAACAGTAACATAACAACAGTGACCTAGCAACAGTAACATAACAACAGTGACCTAGCAACAGTGATATAGCAACAGTGATCTAGCAACAGTGACTTAGAAACAGTGACATATCAACAGTAACATAGCAACAGCAACCTAACAACTGTTGATAAGTCACTGTTCCTAGGTCACTGTTACTAGGTTACTGTTGCTAGGTCACTGTTGCTAGGTCACTGTTGATAAGTCACTGTTGCTAGATCACTGTTGCTAGGTTACTGTTACTAGGTCACTGTTACTAGTTTAATGTTGATATGTTACTGTTGCTATGTTACTGTTGCTATGTTACTGTTGCTATGTCACTGTTGCTATGTTACTGTTGCTATGTTACTGTTGCTAGGTCACTGTTGCTAGGTCGCTGTTGCTAGATCACTGTTGCTAGGTCACTGTTGCTAGGTTACTGTTGCTAGGTCACCGGCGTATCCTCTAAAATCATCTAACTTGTCCAATTTAAGGGAGGGTTGCTAAAAGGGGGAGGGGCTCCAACAGCGGGCGCTTTTTCAGCGGGGGCTCCAACAGGGCACAGGCAACGTTACGCCACTGGGTTGAGGAGACAGTGCAAACAACGGTGAAGTCAGGGATTCAGAGCTACAGTGCAGCTGTACAACAGAACAGTGCTAGTGGTACGGTCTGCAACAATAACATTCTGAAGAAAGTGATGAAGAGTAAGGCTGCAGAGGAGAACAGGAGCAAGAACCTGATTGTGTTTGGGCTGAAAGAAGAGGAGGAAGTACAGCTTCCAGCGCTAGTAACCGCAGTTTTGGAGGAGATTGGGGAGAAACCTCACTTAGAAGCGACTAGAGTCGGCTGGAAGAGGCCAGGTAGTACGGCTATCCGACCAGTCAAGATCACCGTCCCAAGCTCAACAGCAGTTCATAAGATTATGATGAAAACAGGGAGACTGAGGCTAGTTGAGATCCACAAAGATGCATGGATCTGTCCAGATAGATCCAGCGAAGAACGAGCAACGTGGAAGCATCTGGTCACTGACCTGAAGAAGAAGAGGGCTGAACAGACTTATCTCGACCACTATATCTGGTACGACTACGAAAAGGTCTGTAGAGTGTAGCCGTGTTAAGAAGCCACCATGAAGTAATTTATGTCTCTTGGACACTGATCAGTATATGAAGGAGTATCTTAAGAGGTTTTGGGCGTTATCTGTTTTTGAGAGGCAATCATATAATTTACATACTTTATTTTTTAATCGTTTCACACTTTTCATATTTCATAATTTTGTTACTAGGTGGAGGTGATGTTATTGAGACTTTGGGCGGCCATAAAACTCGTGTTTTGAAAGTTGTCCTCTGTACTTGTTTCACTGACCCACGCTTTCGAGCATTTATACATTTCGGCCAAATTTATATTTTTGTTCGATTTGCTGTACATTTGTATATTTGCTATTTTGTAAAAGTTTCAAATCAGTAACAGTGACCAAGCAACAGTGACCTAGCAACAGTTGGTCAACATGACGTTGTGCGGTGCCTTTTCTTTATCATAAGGGTATAATCCTTTTAATATTATCTTTCTTATGTTATTAAGTGTGTAGGATTACATATATATTAACCATTCATATTATCACTGTATATTACATTTTTTCGTCAACATTGTCTGGTCCTTGAGGCTGAAGAAGTAGTAGTAAACCCGCCAGTCTCACATCATTAGTCCTTTATTTATGGATTCGTTTTTTTGGATTCGTATTAATGGATAGTTTCCTAAAATATCCCCTCGGTAGCTCACCCGATCCAAAACATTTAAGAAGAAACGGTCTGCCGTTTCAAATAATTAAACAACGTTTAATATCAGAAATTTTTTTGAAACGAAAACTTTTTACGAAAGTATTCTCGAAAAGTACAATAAAAATCCCGGGTTGTTGCGGAACCAGGATTTCCAATATATAAGCTGATATTGACCGGGACCGGAACTAAGCCCAACTTGTGGTAGCCACATAAAAAGATGGTTAGACGTATAAAGTTTGAAATTGAAGTAGTTTGAGGTAACTAGAGGGAGCTGAAGTAGATAATAATATATTTTATATTCTATTTGACTTTTGCATAAGTCTAGTTATATAATACTTCAATTATATATGGTTTATAACCGAAGCAATACAATAAGATTTTCTCACGTTCGCTAACTTTCTTTCATACCTCAGGAGAGATGAGATAAGATGGCTGATGATGTGGAAGAACAGCTACTGTCGGAGGTGCAAAAAAAAGATGGTACTATTACACTGCACCAGGCTGCTCAAAAAGGGGAAATCAAGTTAGTAAATGATTGTCTGGTGGATGTGCATATAAACGTTAGGGACAAATACAGTAGGACACCCATTATGTACGCGGCATGGACTGACGAAATAGAAATGGTTAAGCATCTACTGAATCTCGGATCTGATATAAATTTGATGGATAACAGTGGGTGGAATATCTTACATCACGCAGTGCAGAAGGACTCTATGAGAACTGTAGAATATCTTTGTGTCGAAATACCAACAAATGCTGCTACCTCATTAGTAAACGCTAAAGACCCACACGGCATGACACCCTTACATATGGCAATCAAAAGAGGATCCAGTAAGGAATTGATTTTAAATCTTTTTAAAATAGTTGGAATTGATGTAGAAATCAAGAATTCGACGGGAAAGACAGCCTTGATGTACGCTTTGGAGGTTAATAGAATTGACATGATAGACATAGTAAACATTGTATGTCAGCACAAAAATGTTTTCTTAGAAAAAGACGATTACGGATTGAATATCTCACATTATGCCGTGATGAATCACAAGTCGTTAGAGTTGATTAAGTGTCTTCTCCGCAATGGATCGATCAATAATGCTTCTTTGGTGATCAGTAAGGATAATATTATGGTAACACCGTTTCATCTTGCAACATCTAGAGGCAGTGTCGAACTAGTTTTATTCTTGCTGAAAATCGACGAAGTTGATGTGAATGTTAATGATAATTCCGGAGAAACAGCGTTGATGCATGCAACAAAAGTAGGAAAAACTAATGTTATCAAAGCCCTCATTGCTGATGACCGGGTAGAAGTCAACTATTGTGATAAAGCCGGAAGAACTGCGTTGATGCATGCAACGAAAGCAGGAAAAACTGATGTTATCAAAGCCCTCATTGCTGATGACCGGGTAGAAGTCAACCATTGTGATAAAGCTGGAAGAACTGCGTTGATGCATGCAACAAAAACAGGAAAAACTGATGTTATCAAAGCCCTCATTGCTGATGACCGGGTAGATGTCAACTTTTGTGATAAAGCCGGAAGAACTGCGTTGATGTATGCAGCAAAAGCAGGACAAACTGAGGTTATCAAAGCCCTCACAACTGCAGATGACCGGGTAGAAGTTAACTATCGTGATAAAGCCGGAAGAACTGCGTTAATGTATGCAGCAGAAGCAGGACAAACTGAGGCTGTTCAAGTCCTCACGACAGATGACCGGGTAGATGTCAACTATCGTGATAAGTTTGGAAAAACTGCGTTGATCTATGCGGCAGAAGCAGGGCAATTTAAGGTTATCAAAGCCCTCAAAACTGTTGACCGGGTAGAATTCAATCATTGTGATAAGGCCGGAAAAACAGCCGTGATGTATGCAGGAGAAGCACGACAAATTGAGGTTATCAAAGCCCTCACAACTGATGACCAAGTAAAAGTTAACCATCGCGATAAGTTCGAAAGAACTTCGTTGATGCATGCGGCGAAAGCAGGACAAACTAAGGTTATCAAAGCCCTCGCAATTAGTGACCAGGTAGAAGTCAACCATCGTGATAAGGCCGGAAGAACTGCGTTGATGTATGCAGCAGAAGCAGGACAAATTGAGGTTATCAAAGCCCTCACAACTGATGATCGAGTAAAAGTCAACCATCGTGATAAAGTCGGAATGACCGCGGTAATGTATGCGGCAAAAGCAGGACAAACTGAGGTTATCAAAGCCCTCCTAACTGATAACCGGGTAGAAGTCAACTATCAAGATAAGTACAAAAAAACTGCGTTAATCTATGCAGCAAAAGCAGGACAAACTGAGGTTATCAAAGCCCTCATAACCGATGGACGGGTAGACGTCAAGGCGGTCAACCATTGTGATAAGGCCGAAAGAACTGCGTTTATGTATGCGGCAAAAGAAGGAAAAATTGAGGTTATCAAAGCCCTCACAACCGATGACCGAGTAGAAGTCAACCATCGTGATAAGACTGGAAAAAATGCGTTGATGTATGCAGCAGAAGCAGGACAAACCGAAATTATCAAAGCCCTCATAGCTGATGAACAGGTAGAAGTCAACCATCGTGATAAATCCGGAAGAACTGCTCTTCTTCTGGCGATGAAAGAAAAACAATTTGAAGCAGCTTGCATTTTAGTCGATAATGTGGAAAAACTTGTATGTTCAATAGGAGACAATTCTGGATCAACTCCCCTAATCTTGGCTCTTGAAGCAAATCACAGGCATTTGATTCATGCAGTTGTGAACAAAATAAATATAAACAATGAGGATGTGAACTTGGCTAATGCAAAAGGAGCAACGATTCTTCATACTGGAGTGAGCAAAAATGATATTGAGCTCGTAAAACTGATATGCCAAAATCCACATGTGAAAAACGTCAAAAACATCGAAGGTCTAACTCCAATCGACATTGCTGTTAAGGAAAAGCTTTATCCGATGTTATGGATACTGGTGCAAGATTTACCGCCGGAAGAGATAGATATTAACAAGTCGTACGAAGAAGGGGACACACTGCTTCATTTCGCTGTGAAACAAGGCAACCTTGACGCAGCCAGGTGCATCTGCTCCCTTCCTGGTGTTAAACGCAGAGAAAACGACAGTAGCGTTGATCCGTTACAACTGGCAAATTCAGAGAATTTGTCATTACACTTCCTCTTGTGCATCTACAAACTTCCCGGCACCAAAGTCGATATAAATGCGCAATACCAAGGAAAGGGAATTATCCATATAGCAGCCGAGCTTCGTGATCTGGAAGAATGTAACTACTTACTAAACGAATTCTCTAATATTGACGTAAACGCCAGGGACAGTGAAGATAGGACTGCGTTACACATAGCAGCAGCCAATACAGATGTGGATACTGCGAAAGCCCTTTGCAAATTCCCATCCATTAAAATCAACTTAGGATCTCCTCTATTAGGATCTCCTCTATTGGAAGCTACTCAGCACAGAAACGTGGATGTCGCATTATATTTGCTCTCTCTGCCAACAATCGATTTGGATATAAAAGACAGCGCTGGCAATAACATTTTCGAGATAGTCTGTGATCTTATAGAGAGGAGTTCATCTGCCAGCATTATATCAAAGGGATCTTCCAAACCATCAATACGCCTCGTAAAAGCGATTGAAGCTGTATTATGCGAAGTGGATCATAATTCAACCAAAGAAAACACAGAAAGTGATGGCTCTCTACATAAATCACAAAAAGAAAAAATACCAGAAACTTTACGATTCCTGCTCGAAGTCAAATTTAAAACCCATAAGAATCAGTCAATCCTGGCGCTGCTTCAGGACAAAATTAAGGTTTTGTCAAGTTCTGATGATAAACAAGATGTAGTCAAATTCACGATTGCATCAGCAGTTCTTAACGTAATAATTGTCGGCTTGCAGAAATATGCCCACGATGATGATCTTAGATATACTTTCTATAAATATTTCATGTGCAAGCCCTTAGTTAAGATATTTGTCAATAAGCAAGAAATTACTAAAAGTGATCATACTGCTACTATCGAGGTAATGAAGCTTGTTTATGTATCATTGCAAGCTAACGCAGACTGTCAAAAATCAGAGAAGGAATTCCTTAGAAATATCCTGCAGGGACAGCTTTACCCAGTGTTTAAGAGAACAATCAAAAGTTTAGGAAAAACAGTGGACAGTGGTGAAAAATGTAGTGATATTCAGCTCATGGCAAAGAATATTTACGAAACGTATTTCAAGAAGGACAAAGAATACTCTGTCTCTACTCGTGTAGAGAAATTCTTCAAAGGCCGGGAGATTTGGATGGCTAAAAAATTGGGGTTACACGAATGTAGCGAAAGAGGCGTCACCACATTACTTTTTACTATTCCAGGTGCAATAACTCATTTATTTGATTTTGCTTTGGATGTTAAACTAGGGGTTGAATCTTTACAAGGATTTTCACAAAGACTGGGAGGATTCATGATTGCTTTGGCGAGTTTTACTCTAATTCATGAAAATTATCGGTCAAGTGTTGAGCTCTACAAAGCGGAGAAGGAGCGTCTTCGAGTCAGTCTTGGTAGATTTGCAATAAAGGAAGAGGATTGGATTGTAGAATCGTCCCTCAACTACAGCAAACCATGTCTCAAGAAATTCTTTCAGCGACTATTTTGTCCGTTTAAGATGAAAGATGGTGAAAAGAAGAGAGCTCTACTATTTAACATCCTTACAATATGTCAGATGCGACCGGTGATCGACCGTCTGATGGTCTTAATGCACTCTCCATCGAAGATTCGGACTGTTATCCGCCAGAATTCAGCACAGAAGGTACTTAACCAGTCTTTCATGGTTACAGAGCAGATACCAGAGCTGATTGTACAATTTTATCTCTTTCAGATCTATTTAAATAACATCGCCACAGAATCATTGTCGCCCAAAGATGATAGGACTGCAGATTATGCATCACAAAATCTTGCTAACATCACTGCTGTGTGTTTTGGAAAGTTGCAGACTTTTACTTATAAATATGAGTTTTTCCAAGGACAAAAAAACTTTTTAGGGATCCAAACAAGTGCACCGTGGTATCTGATCATTTCGATGATTATCCCATTTCTTAAAATGCCAGCAAGCACAGTTTCACTTGAAGGGGCATTTAGGAAATTAGACCCACTAACCCCAAAGATGTCAGGCGGAGCCTCCACTCTGCTTTACCTAACTTATTTAACCATGATCCCGTCTAGATTGTTCCTCCATGCGAGTCTAATGCAAGCCACTCCAAACCATTTCTACAATGTTGGATGGATCTTATTCTTTACTTTAATTTGGTCCATCATTAACTTAATGGTTATCTCCAAAGATCCTGTCTTCAAAGAAAAACAGCTCAGTCCTACATCTAAGGTCAGAAAGGTTTTTCTTCTCTTTTTGTTCAGCTTTAGAGATTTTTGGGTAATCTCTCTGCGGGATACGACAGCGTATATGTCCAAACCTTCTGAAGTGTCGTACAAATCATTAAGAAGCTACAAGAGGATCATGTTGATATCGACCTTTTATTTTGTTGAAGGATTGGCAGGTGCTCTGTACATGGAGCACTTCTTCCCCTGCGGTACAAACTCTGATGTGTTCAAATACCAAGGATGGGCATGGTTGATTTTGTACATCATTTCATCAACATGCCTGATCCTACTGGCCTACACTTTACAGCCGCAAATCTGCAACCGCATTCCCAAAAGATTCCCATTCAAATTTGTGTTTATTTGTGGCTTTGGGTTGATCATGTTGCTCTTTGCTCCTACGACAAAATTATTCATTGATGGGGACTTGGCAATTAAGATCGCTGTCGCCATCATGTTAGCTCTGGTCTGCATTGTCTGTATTTTGGTTTATCTCGGTCTCACTTACTTTGGAGAGGCTGAGGATAAAAAGAAAGCTGCATGCGATGGTGGAGAGGATGGCAGAGATTCAGACAGTTTCGAGAAAGAGGCTGGCCCCCAGATCCTAAGTGGAGAGGGAGAGGCTAGTAAACGTCTTTTAGATACCTCAGTTTGAGTCACTGAATATAAAGATTTAAAAACCTTACCTCTTTAAAGCAAGCCCTAAGGATGCTTTGTAATTATTTTCTGTCTTAAAAAAGTGTTCTGTTCTTTTCCGTGCTGATTTTTAAACGTTTTGTAAATGATTTTTATTTTTGAAATGTTTCGAATGAAGTTTTCAGAAAAATTTAAGGAACCAATTATGTTCAGCATTTAAATGCTAAAATTGCTAAATTTTCATAATGACGTGTAATGATTTTTTGTCATTATTAATTGATTTTGCTGTACTTTTTGTTGTTTTGAAGTTTTTTAATGCTCAGCAAATGTTTTGGTACATTTAAAATAATGGATCAGTTTTCTCTGATATTGAATTATATTACTCATTTTTTGATTTTCTACACATTGAATTCAAACAGTTTTTTGTAAACGTCTTTTTAATTGTATCACTAATTGGATGCACCCACTTTTCTCCACTTAAGAATACTGCAAATGATTAAATCTTTCCTCTTTCGTTATATCCCTATTTCAAGGCAAATCTATGTGCTTTGTTCAGCTTTAGAATTAGAGATTTTTGGGTAATCTCTCTGTGTGATACGGCAGCTTATACATATGTCCAAACCTTCTGAAGTGTCGTACAAATCATTAAGAAGCTACAAGAGGATCAATGATCATGTCGATATTGACCTTTTAACTTTTTGAAGGATTGGCAGGTGTTGTATACTATTACTAGGCCGGTTGACAAAACCACTTTTCGTTCAAATAATTAGAGATCACCTCTAATTAGTTGCTCTATAGGGTCAGGAACAACCAAAAAAACAATTTTGTCTCTACGGTTTTGTATAACACTGACTTGGGCCACGCCCATATTTTATAGTGTTTCTTATACAGGTAAAATAGTGAAAATCGTGATGATGAATAAATGTGATGATGGCATTTCGTTTAAACATACTTTCAAAACTCTTTGACCACGCCCTGGCCGTGGACCACACCCCTATTTCTTATACACATAAAAACACGAAAATCTCAGATTTTTAAATGATTGGATTGACTTAGAGCTTTGAGACTTTCTACTCGAATATAAATGTGACCCATGTATTTCGTTTTAAAAAGGTTTAAAGTTTCTGTGACCACGCCCTATGTGCCACACCCATTTAAAAAAAACAAATTTGTACAATCAGTATATTATTATTGTTAAAAGTTATGAAAATTAAATCATACATAATTGTAATACTATACTATCTTAAAAACATCTATTTAAAACTACTTCAGATCTTCCTTGGTCTTCACGGGGAACTTTTCGTGATGTGAAGCCACCACCCTGACCAACTCCTGCCATGAGTCTTCGTCTCTTATTATCGCCCCGTTGAGTCGAGTGGCTAGCGCTAAAGCCCGCTCGCAGGAGTCGTTCAGGGGGACAAGATTCCGGAGACTCCGCTGTCGTCGTACTGAGAGAAGCCACCACTCATCTTTTGATAGAAAGGTATGGGACTCCCCGAGTACCTGGAAGATGAGGATAGAGCGAGGTCCCACGAAGTCGTCAAGACGAGACTTCTCACTGATTGAAGGCAGTTTAGGTTTCTGGATAGGTAGAGATTGAGGCGGCAGTTTTCCTATCTTAGCCGCAAGGACTTCCTTCTCCTCGTCTGGGACTTTATCTGAGAGGGATAGAAGGAGGTTCAGTTATGGACTGATAGTTGACGTACTCCTCCTACTTGGCTTCCCGAGCAAGCTTCTTCTCGAGAAATACTTGCGGGCGTGCTTATGGCATTAAGACGAGGTTTTTATCAGCATTACGGTTAATGTTGCCCATGATTATTAAATAAATTTAAATGTTACATGGAAAAATCTTACAGCATAAACAAACAAAGTCAGAAAGTCCATAATTCGCTAATGCGAGCTCTATGTTCGAAATCGCTCCCTTCTTAAACTTCTGTCTTACTCTTAGTTTACGGATATTGAATGAATTGTAACAAAAATAATCAAAAATTCACGTGTAAAGTTACAGGTAATAATATATCTAATAGCTGGATCATATACTATTCAGCGACAAAGTTTACAGGGGATTTACAAGGGAAACTGAGACTACATACTTGTAAATGTTAGCTTTGCTGTTCAAAGATAGCAAAAAGTTCGATTCAGCGTAGAAGCTAACGAGTTCCTCAGCTACTAAAGTCAGTATCCTGTTAATCTGCACCTTGGGCTGCAGGTCACTTCTAAGCAGTAGCAACTGTACCACTACTCTAGTAGAAGGACTGGTCTCAGGTAACTCTAGTGGCTCTCCAACTAAGGACGAAAATTTCATTCTTATTGAAATGTGAAGTCGGCGTGCGGTGTGCTGTTGACTTTACAATCGTGGATCTTCTTCATGGTTGCGTGAAGTTTCTTCAGTTTTCTAAAAGTAAAAGATGAATGAATAAAAACTGCCGAAATAATTATAGTAAGAGGATCAGTTGACAAATTTAAATGTTAAAGGGAGAAATGTTCGCTGATACGTGCTCAATGTTCAAAATCGCTCTCTTCTTAAACTTCTGTCTTAGTCTACGCCTACGGATATTGAAAGAATTCAGAATCGTAACAAAAAGAATCAAAAATTCACGTGTAAAGTTACAAGTAATAATATTTCTAATAGCTGCATCATATATTCACTATTCAGCGACAAAATTTACAAGGGAAACTGAAACTACATAGTACATACTTGTAAATGTAAGCTTTGCTGTTCAAAGATAGCAAACAGTCCGATTCAGCATAGAAGCTAACGAGTTCCTCAGCTACTAAAGTCAGTATCCTGTTAATCTGCACCTTGGGTGTTGGTCACTTCTAAGCAGTAGCAACTGTACCACTCTCCTATATATAGTAGAAGGACTGGTCTCAGGTAACTCTAGTGACTCTCCAACTAAGGACGAAAACTTCATTCTTATTAAAATGTGACATGTTAACTAATTGTAATGAATTGAAAATGTAACGATTAAAATAATGCTTGTATTTCTTGCGTATTTTAGCAGCCTTATCTTATTTCAGCGTAATCTTAATAATTAAAACTGCTGCCATTGCACATTGGTCGATTTCTTCTATCAGTAGAATAAGTAGGGGGTGCACGATAAAAATAAACTTGCTAGGATTTTAAAAATTTTTGTACCACTGTTTTCTTGAGACTGTGAGAATTTTCACAATACCAAATTTGTCATACCTTTTTTGAAAGATCAGTGAGTTTCGCCTAGGTGCCATATTTGATGGTGCGCGGCTTTTGGAGCAAAAGTAGCTGTAAAAGTCGCGTAATTTGACCAAATTCGTCCAAATTTGACCATTTTGTCGTATTATTCAGATTTATCTTCAGTTCCTTAAATGAGATCATTCTGGAAATTGACGACGACCTTCCAATAGGGCTTTCACAACTGTCCGAAAAATTTGGTGGATATCGGAGTTAATATAATGATCAAAATGGGGCAAAATACGCTGCTTTTAGCTGTAACATAATGTCTGATGGTTGGATATGCTTTAAATTTGTCGGACACTTTCCTTGTAAGTCTATAAATAAGCTTACCAATTTTTGTTGCAATTGGAGGTCGGGAATGATACTCAATATCTATTTGTTTGAAGAAAATTGTGCTGGCCGAAGTTAGCGCTAAAAAACCATTCTACAGTCGGCACGCGCGGCTCACTGTCGATGGCGCACTACCTAGAATAAGCTGTTGCAATTGGACACAAATTGTTAATACTAATAGATGCAACTATATATCATGGTTAAACTAGAAAATTTACCTACTCGCTATGTTGACGGATGTTACTCGTCTAAATTTCTTCGAAGAAGCGCGCGCCGCTTTCTTCTCGAAATGTTACGGCCCGATGGCAATTAATTGACGATGTCAATTCATGGCAGCTCGGCGCGGCACAGCTTAGCGCATCTCGCCGATCTAGCCAGGCACAGTAACGCATCGCGCTACATAACAAGATGGCAAGTTCTACGAAGTAGCGCGCGCCGGGCCAAACCATTAAAAATAGTCAACTCGCAATGTATGGTGTTGAACTATTCCTTAATTTTATTATCAGTTCTTATCAGTTCAGTTCTCATGAGCTTTTACCTGAGGACCCCAGGCTATTATGTTCATTAACATAAATAAAGATTTGGCGGAATGACAGGCTGAGCGCGGCCCAGTAAATGAGCTTGGCCACTGTGTACTTACTCGTAGTCGTATACATGCGTGAAAAGATAATACTTCCAGAATATTTCTCGAATAAATTCATAAGTAGGTAACCTTATAAAATAAATCATTATATCATCATGAATTAAAGTAGTTGTCTTTTCCATTTATCTTGTTCCAATCACGCGACTGGCGACTCACTTTTTCCATTAAGGCTTAGCCTCACCAGCGCTACTTGAATTTTACTGGGCCGCGCGCTCATGCTGTCATTCTGCATATTCTCTATTATGAACATGATTATGATAGCCTGGCCTGAGGTCCCCAGGTAACTTTAATTTTATCAGAAATCGGTTATTTGGAGGACTTCGCCGCTTCGACGCGCCGCGCAAACTAGCATTCTTGCTTCGCATCGACGATCGTCTGCGAAGCAGAGCAACGATCTCGACGGATTGACATCGTCAATCAATCGTTGATCAAATATTTTACGAAAATAGATCTGCTGTATCATGTATGGTGGCCGAGGAGGGCCAAACAATATGACGCAGAAATGGCGGGCGCGAGCTACTAACTACAACTACAAATGCAAGGGCTCTGGATAGAGCAAAATTCTGGTTAACGGCCAGTTTGCAGTTGATACTCGTAAAATATTTGTTTAAAATATTAGTCACAAGACTTGTAGCGCGATGCGTTACTGTGCCGCGCCGCGCACTCAATGAGGCTTCTCACAGCGACTTCTGGATAGATCGGCGAAATGCGCTACTGTGCCGCGCCAAGCTGCCATGACACATGAATTGACATCGTCAATTAATCACAAGACCGTCGCGCGACGAGTCCAACTCGCGGCGCGCGTTTTGGTAATTAGTTATAAACCTACAAAAATGTTGGTAGAAGCAGGTCGATGTTACGTGGCCGGTGATTTAGATGTTAGAATCAGCATACAAAATTAAAAATACATTGATTCAAGTCTAGTTGGTTTAAATAAAATAAATATGTTAAAATAAAACTGCTGTGTGCTGGGGACCTTTTAAAAAATAGCACGCTCGCGGCGTTTATTATAGTGCACGTACAAGAAAAATTGGATGGTAGAAAAATGCAGTGTGTAATGCAGAGGCAAGAAAATATAATGGACAAAAATATGAAACCCCTAGCTCTACTATCAAAAGCTTTTTTATAACTTCATTTTTTATTTGCCCTTGACCATTGTTAATGGTTTTGCTCTAACCAGAGCCCTCTCGCTTGCAGTAGCGTAGACACATGGCTATGTGAATTAATGGTCTGGCCCGGCGCGCGGTACTTCGTAGCACTTTCGAGAAGAAAGCGGCGCGCGCTACTTCGAAGAAATTTAGACGAGTATCATCCGTCAATTTTGCCCCTATGATGAAGTAAATGTGTATAAATTTGGTTGCTGATATTTCACTGCAAGCAAGAGGGCTGTGGATAAAGCAAATCGTTGTAGGTTTGTAATCTAATAAAACTGTGAAAACGCGCGCGCCGAGTTGGACTTGTCGACAAATATTTCACTAGTATCAACTGTTGAAATGATCGTCACACCGCGCACAAGAATAATAATAACAATAATAACAAGTAAAAGACACGTACTGATATCAGAAATTTGTAACTTAGTCATTAGTGACGTGTATTGCTGCTGTTATAATCGTGGTGTATATAAGCTGCTTTTTTACGATTCATGTCATTCGACTTTATTATTTAAGCGTTAGATGTTAGAATATATTTTGTTTTTTCAAATATTTTCTCCACTAATAGATTTGTAATTCATAACCACGCGAATCATTTTATTGATTCGATTTATATGCATAAATAGCAGAATTAGATATAAATTTGGAGCCAGTTCTTTAAACTGGCTTACTTATACTACTTAAAGGGTGTTCAAGGGTTTTCTATTGATGTACCAGAACGGTGAGATTAAGGCAAAGATCAAATATGAGAATAAAGTGACTAAATTGTTTAAGTTAAATTGTAAACCTCTTTTTAATTACCTTAAATCTAAAAGTATTTTAAGAAAATCTGTAGAAAGACTTAAAACAGATGATGGTTCTGAGACCAAGTCTCCTTCTGAAACGGCAGAAGTGTTAGCTGATTTTTTCCAGTCAGTTTTTAAACCTGAACCTTTTGGCCCTCTGCCTCAAAATTGTTATACAGAATGTAATAATGATTACTTCTGGAGTAAATTTATGGTGCACCCTGAAAGTGTTGCCAAGATTTTGGGATCACTAGATATTAGTAAAGCTATGGGTCCTGATGGTGTTCATCCTAGACTCCTGAGGTATTTAAGTGAGAACAGTTCCTTTGTGGATGCGGTTGTGTTGCTGTTTAGTGCCTGTGCTTCTGAGCAGTATATTCCTGAGGTATGGAAAACTGCCACTGTTGTGGCCTTGCACAAAAAGGGGTCAGTACATAGTCCTAATAATTACAGGCCTGTGTCACTGACTTGTATACTATGCAAAGCCTATGAGAAGCTTCTTAGGGAGTATATTCTCGACGGTGTTGAACAGGTGCTTAGTAGCACGCAGCACGGCTTCATGAAGGGTCGGTCATGCTTATCTAACCTACTGGAGTCTATTGACGCTGTCAATGACTTGCTGGCTGAAGGTGGCTGTGCTGATATATTATACTTTGATTTCTCTAAGGCCTTTGATAGCGTACCACACCACCGTTTATTAGTTAAATTAAGAAATGTTGGTGTTCCTGAGGAGATAATTGGTATTTTAGAAAACTTTTTAGTAGGGAGGTCTATGAAAGTTAAAGTAGGAGATGAATTTTCTGAGATTAAGTATATACTTTCAGGAGTGCCCCAAGGCAGTGTTTTGGGACCATTGCTCTTTCTTTTATTTGTAAATGATCTTCCAGAAGGAATCAAAGCTATCATCAAACTTTTTGCTGATGATGTTAAAATGATTGTTAATCCTTTTATTAATCTAACAGCTGATTTGAAGTTGCTAGAACTTTGGGAGTCTCGTTGGTGTTTAAATTTTAATGTAGATAAGTGTATGGTCATGCAAATTGGTTCTTGTAATCCTAAGAATCAGTACTTGTTTGGTGGTGTGCCTTTGCGATGTGTTGAAAGCGAGAAGGACCTTGGAGTTGTCTTTAACACCAGCTTCAACTTTGAGGGTCATGTGAGAAAGTGCATTGCTAAAGCTAATAGTACCATTGCCTGGCTTACAAGAAATATTATATCGAGGGAGAAAAGCGTTATGCTGGGCTTGTATAAGTCTTTAGTAAAGCCTCATATAGAGTATTGTTCACAGGCATGGGCTCCAATGGCTAGGCATGGAAACTGGTCACTGATTCTTGAATTGGAAGGTGTTCAAAGATCGTTCACCCGTATGATTGATGGATTGGGACTCATGACGTACAGAGAGAGACTGGATAAGCTGAACCTCACAACCCTGCTTGAACGCAGGGTTCGTGGAGATCTCATTGAGATGTTCAAGATCCAGGAAGGCTTTGTGGGTTATGGTTCCGATTTATTTGGTCGTTCTGGTAGGACCGTTGCTGCTAGATCAAAGACTCATAGATTCACCACAAATGAGACTGATTTCTTTGCCCAAAGGGTCTTGCGCTATTGGAACAGTCTACCACCACTTGTGAAAGCTAGTGAGTCAGTTACTGGTTTCAAGAGGGGATTAGATGCCTTTCGGCTTCATGGATATCGAGCTAATAAGCTTGGTCATCACTGGGAACTTTCATATGACATCTTTGATAGGATAGATGTGTCTGTGTCTAATAGGAATAGTTATGTAAGTTATATGAAAGAGAATCCATTGGTAGCTAAGAGGAAGAAGGTTAATATCAAAGGTATTTAATTAAATTTTTTTAAAGTTTGTAATTATATGGTTTCAAACGTAAAGTGTTCATTTTCTATGAATTTCTTTTTGAGATGCCCAGAGAGGCATTATTTATAATGTTATGTTATGTTATGTTATGTTATTGAATTTATATTGAATTTTATATAGGGTAATTGTTATATTATGTGTATATTGTTTGAATAAATTCTCCTCTCCTATAAAAAAAAATTTATATGCATTTAATTGTTAATTTGTAAACCGTGTAGCGATATGGTTAGCAGAACTTTGCTTTTTAATGTATCTGCGAAGAGTACAGTATCCTTAGTAGTCATTACCTGGGAACCTCAGGCTATTGTGTTCATAAATAGAGATTCGGCGGAATGACAGGCTGAGCGCGGCCCAGTAATAGTAGTCAGAGCCGATACTTCTTATATCAATTATAATGCTATGCATCAAGATATTGTCAGAAGCTAAGTAAATTACAATTGTAATGTCTAGCTAGATGAGCCTTGTTCATTTCTTACTTTAGTCTTTTCGTTGCATTTTTTACTCAAAGCAAGACCCTTTAAAGTAAGTTTCTTGATTACTGATCATTATTACTTAACTGTTTATTCCAATTATCATCTGTACGTAATTCGGTCATTATTTGTACTTCGGTGCTGCAAAAAGCTCTATTTTACTATATTAGATATTTCTATGAACAAATTCATTTTCCACTCCATTAGCTAGCGACTCATTGTTCAGTGTCAACCGAGGCCCATCAGGTTGCATCTGTTTCTCTTTGTTATCTATGAATAAATAGTGTTACTTTTGTTTGTGGCAGCATTAATTGAATCTTTAATTATCACGCAATCAGGGGTCCAACTCCTTCGAGGTATGCTTCCTGCTCCATCAAAATTGGGCCGTCGATATGGGGTAAATGAGTGGCTCACGAAGACAGAGCCGTGCCACCAGGAAAACTGTAAGTGCTGTGGTTTGATCGGGAAGGAGAAATCATATAACATAAATGGGATGAAAATCAAGCCAGCACCAGGAACTTGTTCGAGTTATAACATTATTTACATCTTCATCTGTAAAATTTGTGTAACTCCGAGGAAATGTTTTATTGGTCGAACTGTAAAAACTCTTCTTGAGCAAGTTGCTGAACACAGGGCCAATTTTTATAGTCTTTTAAATGATACGTCTTTAAAGTTTAGTGATGATTTCTTGCAAGATAATAATGATACTTTTAGTTTGGCCGCACATTTAATTGACGAACACAAACTTGTTTGTAGATCCGATTTTGATTTGTCTTATAACGTTTTTATCCTTAGGAATTCGAGCCCTAGTAATTTGGAAGTCAATGAACAATTTTTCGCCAAGAAGTTGGGAACTTTAAAGCCTCAAGGGATTAATGCCTGTGATCCTTTTGGAATCCCCGTTTTGTTTGAGAATAAATCTTTTGATCCTAGTCCTTGAGCTTCCCCTTTCTAGATGCAGGGGCTAATATGCTAACTCTTAGTTGTTGTCTCAAAACCCTCACATCTGGATCCTTATTATCTCGAATTATAGTACTTTAAGGTGTTAAATTGTTCATACCTAGCCTTTAATTTTATACAGAATTTATTTAGATATTTTATAAACTTTTCACATATTCTGATGATGTATGTATGTATGTATGGGTATATACAGATTTATTAAGAGATTTGTAACTTTCAACCATTGTCTGATTGCAAGAACTACTTAGTTGGTGATGTCATTAGCACTTCACAAAGTTTGCTTATAGTTTCGAACATTGCCACAGCCTCATTTTGTCCAAGATTCACCACTTACCCAACAGTACAAGGTTAACCAGTTTTGTACCCCAACGTTTATTACCTAGTTTTAGAACCCCATTATTTAAACCAGCAAAATTTTTATTTTCCCTACTTTTGTATGAAGTTTGGAGTACAGACTCACTACAGAGATTACTAAAACAAACTAATCCTATCACTATTTTAGCAGTCATGAATTCCCTGCTAGTCCTCCTAGTTCTATTAATAGCTTCAGTGCTGACTGCTGATGAGGTTTACAAATATGATGAGCATGCACCAATATTATATCACTTTGAGTCGGATGGTGTGAAGATCGATGTTCTAAAAAAAGGTAAAAATTCAACATTTAAAACTTAAATATGAATTGCTCAATCTTTCATTTTGTTATTTGTTGATAATAGTGTTTTTCTTTGACAAAGTTCTTAAATAAACTGCTGTGTTAAAATAAGCCACTGTCAAATAAAAACATTGTTACTGTTAGTAATGATTCTTTAAACATTGAATTTGAGATTTTCGGGAGTCCACTTTGAGTCAGTTTAGTCAAACGAAACCATTGTTTTGATGGCCCCGTTATGACTGGACCGGTTGCACATTTAAATACATTTTAAATTCATTTAGAAATTTTCATCACATGTCAATCATTTACTGGTTTAACTATTTCAAAATTCAAAGTAGATCTTTAACGTCACACTCTTCTTCATTCAAAATATGTCATTTGATTGACTAATACTGATAAAAATGGACCCTTATTGATCTAATTATTTGAGCCTTAAGGACCGTGATCCATCTCTTCACATAGTAACGAAATTCCTTCAGTCTCAAAATGAACACGAAAGGAGTTATTGCAGCATTGATTGCCACCAAATAAACAGATCCAAAAGATTGCAACTCTACGTGTGCTCCAGCAAATACAGCATATCTTAGCTCCAATCCAGTCATAATTTCAATGTCAACTACAGATAGAACAAATGCATAAGGGATGTTACAAACAGCGTAGATGATGACAATAATAAATATTGTATTAGACGCGTAACATTGGTTTGCGTAGTTGTTTGCTTCATCACCTTGTAGTTCGCTGAACCTGTTCCTGTTTCTTCTCAATAAACACAGAGATGCAAGGGAACTCCCTATTGTGAGCACTATTGGCAAGTAATAAGCCAGGGAATAGAACATGTGATAGGCACCTCTGACCTCTTTTGCAGTACTCCAATCACAGACACCATAGGTAAATGTGTGAAGTCTATGAGATCTGAAATCTGGAGAACATTCGAAGAGAACAAGGTAGAGGAATTCCAGAGAGATGAGACTTATAATAGGCTTGTTAGGAATGATGGTGAAAGGGTTGTGCAAACTGACTGCTCTCATCACGCTAAGGATACTGGACAAGAACAGAGACAGTCTGCTGAAAATGTTGAAGATCCAACAGTGAATTTGGCAGAAGGTAGAGTGTATCGCTTCAGCCTCTTCAAGTTCATCAACCAATACTGCAAAGCTGTACAGCATTGACAAACAAAGAATGGCATCAATAGCACTTACAATCATGAACATCTTGTTGGCAAGACTTCTAGAGGGGTTTTTAGTGAAGTAGGCCAAAGCCAGAAAGTTGAGGGGAGCTCCAAGCAGTAGACACAGAAAAGATATCACTGAGAGTACTAGATTAATGCTGTTCATCCTGAGAGGAAAAATATTTAGTAGTTGAAATTTAAAGTTCCAAAATCAGGAATAACAACCAGGCCATGGCAACATGACACATCAACAAACTTATAATTATAACTACGTAATTGATGGTTTTCTAATCGCTGTTCCAATAATTTTACTGATGAATGCGGTTTTGGAGTCAAACTTAAATCAATGAACATTTAAAAGATACATATTCAAACTAAACCTGGCAATAAATGCGATATCACCAAACATGTGAACCTAAGTTCGCAGTTTGGCAAACCCATTAGGATCATGATGGTATTAGTCTGTTAGTGTGCATTCGATTACTATTCTAAAGAATTGAACAGATGGTTAATTGAACCAATTATCATATCAGGTTCTCAAACTTTATCACTTTTTGTGTTCCAATATGAATTGTAAAGAATGTCCAAAATAGGCAAATCAACAGATTTACAAGGTTGAGACAACAGTCTCCTGTTTTCTCACTAGAGTCTTTCTTGTAATGAAAAGCCGAAATTCATTAATCCTCAAAAGGAAAACTAGTGGAGTAAGAGCAGCATTAATTGCAACTAAATAAACAGATCCTAGTGAAATGCTCTGCAACAGGACACTTTTAAAGAAACCTGCCCTTATTTTAAATTTCATTATAATCTCAATATCAATAACAAACAGAACAACTGCATAGGGGAGGTTGCAGAGAGCGTATATAATAACCAGTATGAATATCGTGTTAGCTGCAAAACATTGTCTTCGATAAGTGTTAGCTTCACTACCTCTCAGCCCACAGAAAATGACCTGGTTTCTCCTCAACAAACAGAACGAAGCAGTCGAACTTCCAATGGTCAGAATGAGGGGTAAAAAGTAAGCTATGGAGTAGAACATTTGGTAAGGAACCTCGGTTCCAACATTACTCACGGACCAGTCACAACTTCCATAATGGTACACTGTTACTCTATGTGAAGTGAAGGACGGGGAACACTCGTACAGTAGCAAATACACCAGCTCTGCCGCCACCAATATAACAATGGGTCTAGTGCGGATATTGGAGAAGGGCCTGCAGAGGCTAACCGCTCGTGTAACACTCAGAACACTTGTTAAGAACAGAGACAGTCTGCTTAGGATGTTCCATATCCAGGAAACAGCAATGCAAGTAATAGATTCTTTAGCAGTTCCAGGGTCCACTTCCCTTGCCAGCAATACAGCGTGGTGCAGCATGGAGAGACAGAGTAGCCCGTCTATTGCACTGATTACTATAAACAGGCAGTTAGCTAGCGTCCTCGTAGGGTTCCTCGTGAAGTAAGCAAGTGCTAGGAGATTAAGAGGTGTTCCAACTACTAAGCAAAGAAAGGAAATTACACACAATATCAGGGAGAAGTTATCCATCATCCTAGGGGAGAAACTGAAATTAGGATAATATTATGTTAATATAATGCCGACCTATGAATCAGTTTGGAACCACATAGAGGTATTTAAATTACTGTAATTGTGAATCCAATGGTAAATGTTTTATCTGATATTCGGGATAGCCACAGAGCCAGGTGTTAGATAATGCCTATTCTTATTGTCGGAACCTTTTCGAGTTTAACAGACCGTAAAATTATGTAGATAATTTTGTAGTCCACATAGTATGACAGCGTTTTCTAATCATCTCATGTCTTTGCAATAAATTATCCACATTGTCTCAGAAAAGTGAATTGAAATTTGCTCGAGAGCCGCGTCAGATAAGTGGACGATTTTCTTGAACTTTAAAATCAACCGTTGGAAATTTTGTTAACTAAATTCACAACGTCGTGAAGTGACTCGTCACACAACCACATACCCATGTATTCCCACATTTTTTGTATAATGGGCATGGGCTTTATGTAAGCTAAAGCTTGATTGATTAAAAAATAAACATCACCATCCTGTCGCCTTTCTCTATTTCAATTTTCAGCTAAATAGAGTATGATATCAGAAATATTTACTTTTCAATTTTGACCGAAAAATGAAGAAAATGATGCCCATTTAATCTTATTCCTTATCCAACTCAACAGTTCAAATTCAAATACTGAAATTTCTACAGAGTTTTGTGGTATTAGAAAATTGATAATAAGTCACTTTCCGTAATATATAATAATAAGTCACTTTCCGTAATCCGTAAAGTTATATGCGTAAACAGTGATGTAAGAAGTGTGAAAAGTAAAGTTAGAATCTAGCGGAAAGTTAAGTAAGAAACGTGAACAGTAAAGTCAGAAGCACGAATAGTAATTTTCGCAGAATCACGAGATTAACCTGTTTCTGTCAAGGTCAGCTAGAAACACAGTAGCACAATCTATTGCATTGTTAAAACTTGTCAAACTACCTAATCTTATTGTTACCTGGTTTAGGGTCCAATACACTGCTTTGTTCACCACCTGCCGGCTAAGATAATAAGATCAGCTCACAATTCACCACAGCAGTTAGGAGAGCGTATCTATAATTTTAAACTCAGTCTTAAAAATGGAAACATAACGAAATTCACCGATGCACGGTCTTAGTCCGCTAATCCATTCCGTTACGCATGGTTACGCATGGTTACCCAAACAAAACATAGAAACAATGAGTTTACCACTGTTGAAAGAAATGCCGATTATAATTTCTTTGTCCGTTTTGCACCATCTGTTGCTTCTTTTTGACCAGTTACAAGTCGGATCATTGCTCTCTAATTTATTCCACTCTTGTTCTAGCTCCAATATCCATATATTGTAGTATTATAGCGAACTCACCTCATTTCAGGAGTTACCATTTAGACCACATATTTATTTCTCCGAACTATATCAAGAAGATAGTAGCAGTTCTCACCCACCACCTATACATCTAAATAATATAAAAACTTCCGTGTTCAGTTCCTAAATCAAAACCATTCAGTTCCTAAATCGAAACTATTCTCTAGCCCTAAATTGTGGAGTGTAATTCTGGTGCTCTTGGTTCTCAATGCTATCGTGATCTACTTTGAGCTTTTGGTGGAGGGTTCCACTGATGCTAAAGAAAGATTTCCAGCAACAGTTACCTCAGTAATACGCCATAGAATGAGGTGTTGATAATACCAGCTGTGAAACATAGTCTCCCCCACGTGTCCCTTCTCGAACTGTTTAGGTTGTGACACGTGTATAATAATGTAATGTCAGTGACACGTGTATAATAGAACGTCAACAACCTCGCAACAGTGATTATATCTTATATTTGTACTGTGGATAACACCTGGAAAGTGGACATTGATCTTAGCCCTAAACCGATAACGAGCCATGTGGTCGGCTTATAAGTTACAGTGGGATAAATTCAGCTCTCAGCTGCTTTCTGGTCTAAGTAGAAAAGTAGATCACATATCACTCAAGTTGGGGGCCCTACTATCAAGTGCGGGCAACATTATCTGGCTTACTATTCAATGTCATTTAAAATATAAACACCCGGACAGCATTAATATGACACTACAATAATGGTTTAACTTCCATACTAAACCCCGGCTGTTTGCAGGTGAGGACTGCACGAAGAAGGCAGAAGAAGGAGACATGTTGACAGCAGAATTCCACGGATTCATGGCAAATGGACTGGAACGGTTTGAAAGCAGTCACGACTCTAGTAAACCTTCCTCTTTCAAAATAGGACACGGTTATATGATCAAGGGTCTTGAGCGAGGTGAGAAGCTTTATTTTGGGTGTTTTTGTTGATGAAAATATTGATTTCGGAGAGATCATTGCTGATTGCCATGATCCATCTATCTGTAGGATTTGCAATTATTACTTTTATTGGACTGTTTAATGACACTTAGAGCTTAAAACGTGTACCTTACCACGCTGCAATCCGTGGTAGAGTTTAAAACGTCGAATGTACCACGTTGCAGAATTCCTGTAGCCCACTGACTCGGTGGCATTTAACTTAATTACATTACAACAGCTCTGTCGTATTAACATAGACCTATTTATATCCTAGAGACAACTTCACTGTGCAATCATACAACCATGCTAGCTAGTAGTGATCAATTTTAATCATTAATGTAATATGAACTGAATGAACTTCACACGCACTTCCAGAAAGAAGCCTTTGTATTCTATACAGACTTATCCGAGTACTTCCATGTTCATTAGCTTCACTTTAAGCGTTAATTGATGCAATTATCAGTGTTATGTGCTGTCTAAGTTCAAACACAAGGATACATTATGTCATCAACATATGGCCTACCACCACAGAGTAGGTGTAGTCTGGTCTCATTGCATCACGAATAAATCTTTCGCCTTTTACTAAAGATTTCCGTGCAGTGGGGCAACATTACAGACATTTATATTTTTCTGTAGTCCTCTCAGAGGACACACTCCTAGATAAATGGTCAGAATCTTGATGTTCCCCTCTTCCACAGGTCTCCTCCAAGTGTGTGTAGGAGAGAAGAGGCGTATTCACATCCCAGCTGTCCTAGCCTACGGTAAAATAGGAGACGGCAAAAATGTCCCCCCTGGTGCTGACCTTGTATACGACGTTGAAGTGGTTAGTTTTATCTTTAATTCTTATTATTATATATTATATATTATATTAGACAGTTTTTGGGAGTTCCAAATAATTTCTGATTATTCTGATTTTTGCGACAAATGATACTGCACTGTTAGTGTTGTTATATATTATTATATATTATATATTATTATATCCATCTCTGGCTAAACATACACGATAGTTTGAAATAATATGCTGCTCTAATAACAGAAGGTTAAAATATAACAAAGTTATATTTAACAAGTTCCCACAGAATTATGAGCATAATCTTCTGGTGTATTTAGCGCATAATTCTGTGGGAACTTAATATTCGAACTACCGCCAGTCATTATTTCATTTAGTTTTCACCAGTCATTTGCCTTGTTTCAATTTGTCTACATCCAAGAGCCGTGATGCTCCCTACACTGCAATCTGTAATTCTCCATATATCAACCTGCTACTACCATACACTACACTTGCAAAGCTTCCCAACTATGTACACTAAATTCCACCCACTACCACAATTGACCGGATGGCTGTGCATGCTGTTAATTTATGCAGAATGTGTTGTTTAAACTATTAATTTCCCCTCAGATACATATTCAAAAAGGAACTATTCCCCCCAACATATTCGCTAAGATTGATCTTAACAAAGACAAGCTCATCAGTAGAGAGGAAATGGGCGCCTTTATTCTGGAAACAGGTAATTTTTAGGATATTTTAGGATATTTCATTAAAAATCGTTTTCTAAAACTTCCATTTCCCCAGAAAAGTGGAGCAAATTAAATGTATACATTTAACTTGAATAATGATAAATTAATCGAGTATTTGATTACTTTTTCCAGGTCGCACAGTGACACTGCGAGGCCAGAGCGAGATTGACAACGTAGTGGACGAAATATTTAACCTAGAGGACATCAATGAGGACGGCTTTGTTGACTTGAACGAATTCAGCGGTCCCAAAAAGGGAAAGCACGATGAGCTTTGAACACTATTGATAACAGTTTCAGAATTTTATTATCTATCCAACAGTTGCAGTGGATGATATAAAGGGGATTTATTGTTCATTTAACGATATGTTATTTATGCTTATTCTTGTTTATGAATCTTATCGGAGGTTAGCTTGGAATTTTCTTAAAGGAGACAACATATCATTACGATTTATTTTGTTTTCACCATTTTTATTTTCACAACAGTAGCAAGTTTAGAGATGATTCAAAATCACAGTTAACTTTTTTACCGCTATAATGTATAGTTTGAAATATTATAACGATCATAGTTTTCTAATAATTTGACATTGACAGACAATCGGAGTCAATTAAAAGTTTTCCCATACAAAACAAAGCAAAGCAAATTGAACTTGATTACATTGCTTATATTTTGTCGGACTTTACTTTTGTACTTTTATATCATGTAAATTTAATTTGTTTATTTTAAATTGTATCCAAGTGTTTTTGTTATTGTAGATCGTTGTGAAAAGTTTTGGAGGTGTTGTGAGATGAAAATTTGATAAATGAAATGACATTTTTTAAAGTGTCGAGGCTATAATTTATGTTTAATGATGTGCTAAAATATACGTAGTGGTTAATCATTAGTATAACTGAAGACCGTCTCAACTCTCATAGAATCAGTTGAACAAGAACATGCTAGTTCAGCCTCTCAAACACGATCAGATGAGCGATTGAAAGGCCGGTGACTTCATCGTGACAATATTTGAGGACGTGTAAGTTTGCCCGGGCCGACCTGTGGACGTGGTGGGTAAGCTGCAAAATCTGGTGACGTGGCGACATCCAGCATGGCACGGACCAGTAATGCACTTTATGTGACGCGCGGATGAGATTTCTGTTGCCGCGCACCAATGCACGCGAGTAACGTACGTACAGTTTAAATTAGTCAGAAATTAAACTGAAATGTAAATTTCCCGCCTGATAATAAATTTACTTGACTCACGTCTCACATATATGTCATATATGACATAATATATACCAATGGGCGGAACTTATCAGAAGGGTGGATGATACGCCTAAAACCAATTAATACGGCGGAATCACATAAAACTCATGGATTACTGTAAGTAATGATTGAATCAAATACGATTCTCCATGACACATGAACGTTCATTCTTCTAGAATCTTGCAAAGGAAAATGATAATTTGTTCATTTTGAATTGTAAAACTATGGACTACTTTGCACGGTCAGTAGACTAGCTGAACACAGTGTAACTTAAACCACTATAGACTCTTTTGTAATCGTTATTAATGGGGTTCCGTCCGATTATGGCCCACAGCTTCATTGACTCGGAGAATAGTTTATTATTTATGTTTTTTTTCAATTTAGAGATGAGACGACGAGGAAAGGATTTGTCAATACGAAGAGAAGATTTGTAACACTGTAACAGTGGGGGGGGGGTGGAGAGGATAAGAATACTCTGGATATTACATCCAGAGTATTATTACATCATGTAATCGTTTTTTAAAGGTTAGACGTAATGCAGTTTTCAGAGTGCTAAAATTAAATGATGTGTGGATACGCTTAGTAATACTCGGAGTTTTTGAAACAATTGAAAACAGGAAACAGAAATCTACCAAACAAGAAAGAGCTACTGGTAATACTTAAATGAAATTTCAAGTCGAAACAAACTAAAATATACTCAAAATCAACCTCCAAACAGATATCAGTGTTCCAACTCCTGGACTCCTCACTGGTTGGGTGAGGAAACTCCAATAGCCTGAACCTCACAAAGTGTCAGATAATCACCGTTCTGTGTTACCTTTATGTAATCCCCTATAGCACCTCCACAGTCCACTTCGTATACAACCTTGCCAGTTTCATAAGTAATCGCCCCGCAGTATGTGCCCGCTACATATACCTGGGGTTAGATGTTATAGTGAGGCACCCTGAGAGATATTGGGCACTGGGAAAATGGTGGGTAGAGTATTCTGGTAACTCTTCAATATTGAAAGATTAGGTTGAGAAACTGATTGAAAACTACTAAGGATAACACAAGGACAGTAGCTTCTAACCTGGACATTATTGATTCTATTGCTGACAGTCGAGTCTGTTGTGAATAATGACCTTACTCACTGAAGCTCTCTCAGATAGCTTACCGTTCCACCAGTTTTGTTCATGGTCGGAAGAGTGGGTACATGTCCTGAAGATATCATTTTATTTTTGCTGCCTAAATTTTATTTTATTTTACATATGAATTGTTTTTTAGCTCTATATCGATCATAAACCGGCCAATTGCTTTATTTCCTGATATTTTATCGTTTTCATTTTCAATTACCAGCAGAATGCGATGACCCAAGATTTAAATTGAGCTATCAACTTAGTACTTACTTGGAGGAATAGAAGCCGTTAGTATTACCGTCAATAGCCAATTTTGCAACCCCACCCCAACCGGTGGTTTTTTGTGTGGCGCTGATGAACTTAAGTTCTTCGGCTGTTTAAAAGTTCAGTTATGGTTATATTACCGAACAGGAATGTTAAAAGTATTACCAATGTTGAAAGTTCCTTAAAAAGAAAATAATTGTATTTGTATTGGTAAAAAAATTCATTTTACAGTTATGTTAATAAAAAATGTCCTTTTACTATGAAAATGGACGATCTATATGAAATAATAACACCAGGGAAATGAAAGGATGATGATACACCTTAACTATAGGTTTAAAAAATCTAATTACTATTAGGGCCTAAGAAGATCTTTCGATTTTTAAAGAAATCTTAAACATTAAAGGGTTCTAAGGAAAAACTAACCGCAATCTGGGACCACACACCAGTCCCATCGTTTGCTAGGATCGGTCGTGTAACACCATGTTTCATGGTACTTTTCTGCTGGGTTCCTACAGTAGTTGTGATCCAATCCTTTGCCTGGATAACTGCAAGGAAAGGTCTTAGGTCAGTGGACGATCAGATTTATTAAAAAAATGAAACGCTTAGCTGAAAAGTACCACTGTTCACTTGTAATTAATTATTGTACATATTTAAAGTTTGGAAATTGCTAATATTTGTGGTTTATTACCATTACTTACTGAAAAGCAGTGTACATATGTCTGTGAGGGGATTGGCTAGACCACTCCTGACAAGTATAGCCCGATTTAGTCTTTGATTGAGATCCTTCGTACGCGTATCCTTTATTTGCCCTATCTCTTTGGGCCAACATCCAATATCTGTTTAAATGGTTTCTTGGTCAAAATTCTAGCTTATTTTGTATTTGACAACTTGAAATCTGTCTATACTCGATTAAGGGTTGCTTATGGAAGGAATTTAAGACGCTCCCACTAAATCGCTCGCCCAAATTTTGAGAAAATTCTTGTGACAAGGCCCTGAGGGTATGAAAGTAATTTAAGAGCCAATTTAAGTAGCTAACATGGTAACATACCCTATTTCTGAACTCATTCTGCTGCATTTTAGATACTGTTACTTACCCTCCTAATTGCCTCCAGTAACCATTGTGCCTCCAGTAACCATTGTGCCTCCAGTAAACATTGTGCCTCCAGTAACCACTGTGCATCATGCGACCCTTAAGTGACCCTTAGATGCGCGCTAATCATCGTGCAACAATTAATGATACCCAATCTGAAACCATAAATTGCATAGCTTGAGAAGATTTCACCCTTATAAAAGCCAAAACTCCCTTACCAGTACCTGATTCACAAGCATATTCGTGGCACCCGATCGATTTTGATTCTTCTCCCTGGCATTCTGCTCCACCATTTTCTGGCGCTGGGTTTTCGCAGGTCCTGTACTTCGTCATAGTTCCTCCACCACATTCAACAGTGCAGTGAGTCCAACTTCCGAAGTCAGTCCACCCACCATCAACTGGACAGCCTTGTATGTTGCAAGCCTGGATTTCTACGTCACCTCCCTGGCATTCAGCTCCGCCATTTTCAGGTGCAGGGCTATCGCATGACCTCATCCTATCCTGAGATCCTCCGCCACATTCTGCAGAGCAATCAGACCAACCACCGAAGTCAGTCCACCCACCATCAACTGGACATCCTTGTGTGTTGCAATCCTGGCTTTCTGAGTCATCTCCCTGGCAATCAGCTCCGCCATTTTCAGGTGCAGGGCTAACGCAGGACCTCTTCCTTTCCTGAGATCCTCCACCACATTCTGCAGAGCAATCAGTCCAACTTCCGAAGTCAGTCCACCCACCATCAACTGGACATCCTTGTGTGTTGCAATCCTGGCTTTCTGAGTCATCTCCCTGGCAATCAGCTCCGCCATTTTCAGGTGCAGGGCTAACGCAGGACCTCTTCCTTTCCTGAGATCCTCCACCACATTCTGCAGAGCAATCAGTCCAACTTCCGAAGTCAGTCCACCCACCATCAACTGGACATCCTTGTGTGTTACAATCCTGGCTTTCTGAATCATCTCCCTGGCATTCAGCTCCGCCATTTTTAGGTGCAGGGCTATCGCAGGACCTCATCCTATCCTGAGATCCTCCACCACATTTCGCAGAGCAATCAGACCAACCACCGAAATCAGTCCACCCGCCATCAATTGCGCAACTTTTACCACAATTCTTTGCTTTTTTCTCCAACTTGGCACAATGTTTGTGTTTTTTGCCTTTCATTGGTTTCTTTGTGCTGTACTTGCATCCTAGTGTCGAAACGTACCCTTTCTTCAAACAGTTATCGTACTTTTTGAAATGGTGCTGGCACGCTTTTTCTGGCGAAGGCTTCTTCTTATGTTTATTTCTAGCATCTACCGTCTTGCAGAGTGTTAGGATAACCAACAGGAGCAAGAGTGCGTTCCTCATCCTCGGTGATGGCGAATAGAGAAATAGAGAAAGATAAATTGTTAGTGAGAAATGATACCAGAGCTCCCTTAATTATACGTTCAAAATGGTTCTCAAACCTCATCAAAGTCTGTCTGTTCCGTGCGTAGATGTATGGTTTTGTCATCTATTGTGATTTTTAAAAATCAGAACACGTGTTAAAGGTCAAAGCACGTGTCAATGGTTCACAATGCACACTATTTTCCGGAGGGAGGCGACTAATAGACAGGGACTACGTGACGGTGTGATTTAATCATGTGAATAATATTTTAACGTTCCGTGAGGAACCAAAATTTTACTATAATAATATACATTTCGGCGGTTAGGTGGACACACCCTACTTACTTACCCGTACTAATTATAGTACAGTGATTATATTATTTTTTTAATGATTTTCCCGCTGTAGAATACTAATAATAGCATGTTTCCGAGGCGTTACTTTGTAGGCAATGTCCAGAAAGAAGTCCTGTTTCCAGCCTTTTTAAATATTATATGTAATAAGGGGTCGTTCACATAATACGTAATCAATTTTTTCCCTCCCCCTCCGTAATCAGTTTTATACATAGCTATTGTGTCAAAATTACATTAGCGTAATCATTTAGAAACCCCCCTCGGCTGATTACGTAATATGTGAACGACCGCTCCTACTAAATCGCTCGCCCAAATTTTAAGAAAATTCTTGTGAAAAGGCCCTTTGGGTATGAAATTGATCAGGTTCGGTGTATTTTTGGATGCTGATTCCGAATCACCCCACATGACGTAGGGTAATAATGCTTCCCTGGAGAGTTATGGGCAAAAAACCGTTTTGGTCACGTGACAGGCTAGTAAAACATGAATTCGATTGTTTAGGGCTCGGGTTAGGGTTAGGGTTGTGGTAAGAGTAAGGGTTATGGATAGCAAAGTCACGTGAAATTTTTGGGCGAGCGAATTAGTAAGAGCCGTGAACGACCCCTAAGAAGATCGGATCAAATAGAAAAAAAAGTTATTAATCAATAATCATCGTACATTTGTCTCATAATATAATGCTGGATCCAACATTAAAATCCTACGGTCAAAAAAGTATCAAAACGTTTAAAAGTTTTTCAACAATCAAAAAAATGTTGAGACATATATTGTTTAAAACATCGAAAATGAGATTTAAGAGAATATGGGATAATGTGGCCAGACACAATTTAAATATCTATTTTTTTCATTCTTTGTTTACTTTGGTAGGTAACAATTAAAAAGTCGAAGGCAGTAAGTACGAAGTAGGTGAGTGTAGGTACTGTGAACCAGACCAACTCCGCACAAAAATGTGTTGCTTTTCATTTCACCCTTAATCACGGGGCTCCAACCTGTAATTGCACAAACTATCACTTCATCACCATTGATCACCAAACTCTAAAATAAATCTACAGTTTCGAAAAACTTCCAAGATAATAAATCAGATAGCTTCGTCTGTTAATGTTTTTCACTTTTGACGACAATCATTATTTGGAAGAAACACTAGAATTGTCGGCACTTGTAAACTTAAAGGGGTGGGGTTATTACTCCCAGCGTCAACCAAAAGGCTTGAATGATATATATTATACCCATATTATTTTACACGCAAACATGTTGTGTAAATACAACAGTAACTTCGAGACAAGTCTAAGTGCTCAACTCAAAGTTTTAATATTTTCCCTTACATTGATTGGTATATATTATACTCTTGTGAAACTAAGACCTATTCGCCCTCCAAATTTTAAGATCAATCTTAGTGCATTACGTCAAGTTCCAACCGAGCACAAGTTCAGTTCTCTTTCACTGATCTGGCTGTGGGGGCGGAAGACAGGATGAAGACAGATAATGTCAGCCTCACTTCAGGTATTTTTTAACTGTCTTGTGAGCCTGTGAGGGTGTCTGGATAACCAATGCATGTGTAAGGAAGGTAGTCATGACAACTGTGACCAGGTCACGTGATCAGGTCAGGTGGTAGGTTGACAATTAGTAAGTACTAAGTTTTCCGCTTTATTAGTACATGTCTTGTGTAGTTAACTGTAAGTCTCAGATACTGTTATACTATACTTTAGAAACTTGCTCAGCACATTTAGCAATTAGCATGCAATTAAAATAAAGAATTTACAAAGTTTTCTCTTAAATAAAACAGCAACCTCAGGTCTCACTAAGTAAAAGAAAGATCAAACATTCTGACAGCTCTATAATTTCTCACAAATCACAATTAACACGTGTCATGTTCAGGATATAATGTTAGACAACCAGTGCCAGCACAGCGCACTGTTCCCCACGTCGTGTCCAGGTAGGCTCTCTCTTCTAACTCTAATTGTAATGAAGTTCAAATACATTTTATTATTCTCATAGAATAATGGCTTCATGATTTCGGGTTAACTTTGAGCATCTGCACAATGTTTGTTGGGGTCACTATGACTAAGATTATTAACAATTATTTATGTTACACCATTGTACTTTTTATCATTTTCAGTTTCACAATAAAATGGGGGTGTCAGTACTGAAGAAGGAGGAAAAGGAGGAGGTGCACCACCCCAATTCCGGGTAATTTCGAAATTTTACCTTTGAAAACATTTCCTTGTGTTTAGATAAGCATATCTGTCGATCACTGACTGAATATGCCAATTTTTACTCATCCAAGTTGGCATTAAATTCATATACATTATATATGATACCATCTAACTGTCGTGGGAAAGCAGAATCTGATAGAAATCATGAATGATGAATATTAGCAAAATTCTCACCTCTGCGTTTAGCAATTTTCTATAAATTTGGGCGTGTCCCCACGTGTGCAAATTTTCGACTTTAAAACTAGCCTATAACAAAATTTAGACCTCTAGAAAACAAAACTGAGCTCCACGACCCGAGGGATGGCCCAACACCAAAAAATACTAAATCAAAACTTTTGTATTTCTATATAAAATTATTCTTCAAAAAAGTACTCACTTCTGACTTCAATAGCAAATATCTTTATGAAGGAGCAAACTAGGTAAACTTTCCGGTAGATTTTTAGAAAGCTTGGACAAATATCTAACTTCTATACGTCCTGATCAAATTTTTAATAAAATACTCCTTAAGGAAGAAAAATCGATTTTAAAAGTTGTTACTTCCTCAAATAAAACAGGCAACATGCGACGTTACGCCACTGCCCTATTAGTATTATATTTTAATTTATGTTCATAATCATAAGAGAGACTCTAGGCGGAATGACAGGCTGAGCTCCGCCCAGTAAGTGCTAGTGCCAGTGGTGATGATGACGTTGTAGGTTTACAACCTACCAGGACGCGCGCCGAGTTGGACTCGTCGGATGACGTCAAACTATTTTTGTATATAATATAAACTAAATTATAAATGATTGTGGTTCAAAATGGCTGTATTTTTAAAAATTTTGAATCTACGAACACTGCATGGGAAAAGCGATCGACCAATTTTATTCTCGGTATCATTTTGTATTTGCGGACGGTAATTCAAATTTAAAATTAATATCATTTACTTTTGTTTGGGAAAGGGAGACACTGGCAGCGGTCCACCCTACCCAATTTGCAATTATGGATTTTGGTCAAATATATAATACTTCACGACAATCTTTTTTAAAACAGGGGTTCCTGCAGAAATCGACCACTTCCCAATTGCCGAATAAATTGATTAGTTCAAGCTCAACATATACTTGTAGTTAGTTATAATATAATGTTTTTTGTTAGTAGAGTGGGACTCCCAGGATTGAGGATTCTCGTAGTATTGTCATTGGGAATTTACTTGGATTACGTCGTGACCCCCATTTCATTGTCGTTTCACTAAGTGACCCCCTGTGGCTGTAGAGTGTAGCGTTTCTACGATACAGGGGGAGCCGCGCACTCGTGCGCAGTGGGTCATATACAAGTACAACTTGTAGCGCGATGCGTTACTGTGCCGCGCCGCGCACTCAATAAGGCTTCTCTGGAGTCTGGCTAGATCGGCGAGATGCGCTACTGTGCCGCGCCGAGCTGCCATGAATTGACATCGTCAATTAACTGTACACTATAGACTATCATATGATTTTTTTATAAACACGTTCTCCAGGTGATGGCCCTCAATGACTATTCGAAACCCTAACTCAATCCGGAATCCTTAACTGAAGCTTACTGGGCGGCGCTCAGCCTGTCATATTCAATATGATTATGAACATAAATATAATAGCCTGGGTGCTGGGGTCCCCAGGTAAAAATGAAGCATATGCTAAAACCCTAATTACCCTAACGAGAAATTAGACCACATTCATTAGATAACAACAAACAATCGAATTCGTGTTGAACTAGCCTATCAGTTAGTGACCAAAACTGTTCTTTGCCCATAACTCTCCAGGGAAGAATTTTTACCCTACGTCATGGGCCCATGGGGGTGATTCGGAATCAGCGTCCAAAAATTGCACAGAATTAGATTACTTTCATACCCTCATGGCCTTTTCACAAGAATTTGAAAAAAAATGGGTCGAGCGATTAAGTGATTTAGCACGTTCGTAAATTATGATTTACGACCAGACCTATGCTCTCGATTGCAATAGAATTACGCTGAAAGCATGAAATTTTAAGGCCAGCTTGTCATATCTTGTAATAGATATCAAACTTACAATAAAATGAATAAATAAACTAAACAGCTTTTGCTGCTATAAGACAAGTTAGAGGTTTAATCATTTATTGACTAACTAAACTTAAAATACATACAATATATATCACGTTAATCAATCATTGAGAGAATTGCACTTCGTATTTTACCATAATCTCGTAATTTTAATTTTGTACCCAAGAAACAATACCAAAGTGGCAGCAAAAGTCATCTCAACGACGAAAACAAAGCGCCGAAAAGTTTATCCAGAACAACCTTCTGACCCAAACCCAAAACGACTCGACAGCAGATCCGGCCCTTTGGGGCGCTGAAGAACCAAACATGCGGTATCTCACAAATAAAAGGTTCATGAAATTAAATAAGGAAGCTTGGAAAGTGCATGTCGAGCACACTGCTCACTAGCTGCCACCAACCCAAAGACGTCAAAAAAGTCTCACAATTTTGAATTACTACTCCTCGATCGTATCAGTCTCATTGAAAGCAGTCAATAATAGCCGGCACAACTATAAGCGGTGGTGGTAGGTGAGGGTGATGAGAAATGTGCCACACCCCGGCCGGGCCCTCAGTGTCCCTTTTCTCTCTTCGTCTTCTGCAGACGTCACCATGTGGTGGTCCTCGAACAACTCTTAAAACTCTTGACTCTTTCTGACGCAGGCTCGGACTCGTTTCTTGAACTCACCGTTGTAGTCGTCTCTAAACTGTTTCTGTAAGGGTAAAATTCATGGTTAATATTTAATATCGCACTATTACGGAGAAATATTTAGTCCTATCGGCGTAAGATTTACTGATTATTACAGATTAGTTATGAACCTAATATAACCTCTTTAAAGGTATAAACTGGTCCTTAAAATTTAAAACATGCCAGTTTTTAACAATCGCGACGAACACTGCACAGTGAACACTTATCAGGACTGATTCTCAGCTTACAGCTTAGTTTCAATGCAGGTTGTTACCTATTGAACATAATAGTGATCGGTTGCAACATTTCCAACCGTATTGTAATTTGAGAAACAAAGTTTGAGATGACGGATGGAATTTCGCACCGATTTATCATTTACGTATTATATTTACGCGATCTATTTTATTTTCAGCGAATGAATGTGTCAGTTCGACATATTTAAAAAAAACTTTCCTTGAGAAGTTAGTCATTTCATTATTCGATCGGAGACAATTTACAGATCAGTTTCGCTGAATCTCAGTAAGTAACACGTTCAGCCTTTAGGTGAAAATATCCTGGAAGAACGTGACGACAGGTTACATTAGGTGAAGCAGGAAAACGAGTCTGAAGGGCCAAATAGCAGGTGAAAAGGTATTTGAGATATCCGGTCTGGGTGTCTGTTGCTCACGAAGGTGTTTAAAATCTTTTATGACAAGAAATTAGGTAATCGGTCAGATGCTTTTAAACCGGCCTGATTTCTACTTAAAACTGAAAATAGCACGAGCACGTACGTACGCGCGTGCGCTCTTCTTTTCGGAGAATTAGATACACAATGATTTGCGTTTCGCGCGCTACTGTACAAATTTAAAGTAGACCTTATAGAGATTAGTTTGATCCGGTCATGTGCTTAGATAATATGGGCTAATAAACTGAAAGTTGCACGAAATTGATAACAATCCTAATCAAGATTATGAATCATCCCAGGATGAGGAAGAAAACACGATCGCCATAAAATTAAGGCATAATGCAACTGGTGACGTTATCCAGCTGTTCAGCCCATCCTCTATTTTCCGGCATTCCCCAAAAAAAGGAACAAATATTACAAATATTACAAATATTACAAACCGCTGCCTCCACGTTAGCGGGAGATTCATCGTTAGGATCTGCGAGCATGCTGATAACACTGATAAGGATAGTCTCGATAGTGTGGATTGGGAGCCACCTCATCCCCGCATCCTCGTAACCGTACGCATCCTCCCCCGGCTCGTGCAGGATACTGATGCACACCACTCCGTTCTTTTCAACTGTAACACATAATGTTACATACACTCATACAACTGTTACACAAACTACTCCGTTCTTTTTAACTGTAACACATAATGTTACATACACTCATTCAACTGTTACACAAACTACTCCGTTCTTTTCAACTGTAACACATAATGTTACATACACTCATTCAACTGTTACACAAACTACTCCGTTCTTTTCAACTGTTAAAGTTTGTTACTAGCCGTAAAGATTTTAAGAGGCTCTCATCAGCCAAAATAAGAGATAATCTTTTTAATAGTGATGATCCAGCGCTTATAACTAAGAAGTTTTGGTCACATGTTAAGTATAAATCTAACTCCTGCCGTATTCCTAATTGTGTTAGTTATTCTGGACAGCTTCGGTTCAATCCCAAAGATAAAGCTGAACTTTTCAATTCTTTCTTTTATAACCAGTTTTCGGATCCTTCACTTTATGACACTGACATCTCCTATGTCAATGATGTTGATTTTGATATTGACTTCGATCATCGGGATGTTCGTAAGCTTCTTTCAAATATTAATTCAAATAAAGCCCAGGGACCAGATGGCATACACGGTAAAATTCTAAAAAATTGTTCCGTAGGTTTAGCTTACCCTCTAACATGCATTTTTCGTGGATCCTACAACAGCGGCTACATTCCACAAGAATGGAAACTTGCAAATGTTGTCCCAATATTTAAGAAAGGTCAGAAAAGTGAGGTTGAAAACTATAGACCAATATCCCTTACTTGTTTAGTCATGAAAGTTTTTGAGCGCATTGTTAAACGTAAACTGCTTTCTTTGACAAGTACCCTTCTCGATCCCAGGCAGCATGGTTTTCTAGAGCACAAGTCATGCACAACCAATATGGTTGATTTTTGTGATAGCCTGGCATTGTCTCTTAACGAAAACATTATCAATCATGTTGTGTATTTTGATTTTGCTAAGGCATTTGATTCTGTAAATCATGATACCCTTCTTCATAAGCTAAAGACCTTATATAACATTGATGGTACACTTCTCAAATTTCTTACCAATTACCTTCAAGGCCGTTACCAAAGAGTGGTTATTGGTAATGAGATGTCATCTACCCTCTCAGTTAATTCTGGTGTCCCCCAGGGCTCTATCCTTGGTCCCTTACTTTTTGTATTGTTTATCAATGATATTCCTCTTGGCCTTTCGGATAATACTGATATTGTTTTGTATGCCGATGATACAAAAATCTGGCGTAAAATACATTCATCTTCTGATAATACCAATTTACAAATGGATATAGACTATCTCTCTGACTGGGCACTTAGAAACAAAATGCGATTCCATCCAGCAAAATGTAAAGTGCTTATTGTTTCAGGAAAACCATCTTTATCTCCTCCATTCGCATATAATCTTGATGGCTCTCCTCTTGTGTATGTAGAGTTAGAAAAAGATCTTGGAGTCGATGTTACTCCTAAGCTCAGTTGGAATAGTCAGTGCGACAGAATTTATACTAAGGCCTGCCAACAACTTGGTATGGTCAGAAGAGATGGCCATATTGTCATTGATCAGAAACGTCGCCGGGCGCTTTACCTCTCCCTGGTTCGTAGCCAATTCGAAAATTGTTCCATAATCTGGCGCCCTTGTAATAAATCACTTAGTGATAAATTAGAAAGTCTCCAAAAGAGAGCTATTAAATGGATTCTGTCTGAAGAGGGCCGCAGTTATCCACCTGAGCAATATGTCAAAAAGTGCAAGCTTGTCGACATTCTCCCTTTGTCTCAAAAGTTTGACTTGAATGATCTTATTTTTTTCCACAAAGTTCTGAACAATTTAATTCCTGTATCGCTGCCTCACTATCTCACTTTATATCAGGGCACTTCTCGACTAAGACGTTGCCACCTCGACAGTCTGTCTATTGTGTCATCAATTTTACCTAAGTTAAGTCAGAATTCACACACCTTATGTACCTCAAATAGCCCACTGGCAAAATCATTTTTCTACAGAACTCATATACTGTGGAATGGACTCCCTTTACAGGTAAGACAGATTGTGTCTACAAGTGTTTTCAAAGCTGAGGTCACTAAGCATCTATGGAAATGTTTATTGGATAGTGAAACAACAGCCTAGCCTAGTCTCTTTGCTCCCCATATTATTATTATTTTTGTTTTATTAATTTTTTATCTACCTTCCTATACTTTCAACATCATATCACACTTCACCCGCACACCTCACACATTAATGACCATATCAGACCTGTATCTAATGTATCTGGAATTTGACGTATTGAAATACCAATTTTGACTATATATCCACAGTTATTCACCATGGATTTGTTTGTTATTAAATAGTTTTTCATAAATTTTTGGATTTAGATTAATTCGATGTAATGGGTCCAAGTTACTGCGGACATAGTTCACTATGTGTTTACCGTGTTTGGGTGCCCATCATATTTTACAGATGGGGGCGATATTTTGAACGATTCTATTTTATATTCATCTATTGCTGTACTCTGTAAAATTTGAAAAGTATTTAATAAAAAAAAACACATAATGTTACATACACTCATGCAACTGTTACACAAACTACTCCGTTCTTTTCAACTGTAACACATAATGTTACATACACTCATACAACTGTTACACAAACTACTCCGTTCTTTTCAACTGTAACACATAATGTTACATACACTCATACAACTGTTACACAAACTACTCCGTTCTTTTCAACTGTAACACATAATGTTACATACACTCATACAACTGTTACACAAACTAATCCGTTCTTTTCAACTGTAACACATAATGTTACATACACTCATACAACTGTTACACAAACTACTCTGTTCTTTTCGACTGTAACACATAATGTTACATATACTCATACAACTGTTACACAAACTAATCCGTTCTTTTTAACTGTAACACATAATGTTACATATACTCATACAACTGTTACACAAACTACTCTGTTCTTTTCGACTGTAACACATAATGTTACATATACTCATACAACTGTTACACAAACTACTCTGTTCTTTTCGACTGTAACACATAATGTTACATATACTCATACAACTGTTATACAAACTAATCCGTTCTTTTTAACTGTAACACATAATGTTACATATACTCATACAACTGTTATACAAACTACTCCGTTCTTTTTAACTGTAACACATAATGTTACATATACTCATACAACTGTTACACAAACTACTCCGGTCTTTTCGACTGTAACACATAATGTTACATATACTCATACAACTGTTACACAAACTACTCCGTTATTTTCGACTGTAACACATAATGTTACATACACTCATACAACTGTTACACAAACTACTCCGTTCTTTTTAACTGTAACACATAATGTTACATATACTCATACAACTGTTCAAAACCACTCCGTTCTTTTCAACTGTAACACATAATGTTACATTCACAAACTACTCCGTTCTTTTCAACTGTAACACATAATGTTACATACACTCATACAACTGTTACACAAACTACTCCGTTCTTTTCAACTGTAACACATAATGTTACATACACTCTACAACCGTTACACAGAGTAGGTATAATGTAGGTTTCAGTGTCACGGTTGTGACAGCCTTATGTCACATGTGGGATGTAACATACTTAATTATTATCCAGCATTACAGCTCATAATATCACATAATACATTATGTGCGGGTATTATATAAGGTAAGCAGGGACATTAGGTTTAATTGTGTGGGCCAGTAAAAGTTATTAAATATTAATAACTTTAATGTGTCACCATAGATTCTTACATGAAAATTGAACGCTGTATAATCCATTTATCACCATTTATGACGTCACGAACTTTCGTGAGTAGTTAACACAGGGCAATATTAGCTTTAGAGGGTTTTAGAATATAGATCAAATTTCATTATCTTTAATTGAGTCCTGAATAGAGATGGGTATTGGCTGTCCTTAATAAGACCCAATTAGCGGGGATTAAGTAATTAGTGGGGATTAAGGCAGTGTCTGATTACTTTGCAGATAAGTGAACGTTTTAGATATATCATAATGTATAGTACTGGGGATTGTCTATAACAATACATAGAACTAGATAAATACAAGAGAGTAAATCTACACGATATATACACGATATGTAATAAACGTCATGTTGTGGAATACAGAGTTTGAAATGTATATTATTCCACATATCATAGTTTTAATGTTGAAGCGTGTAATGAATGTTAGAAATTATTCATTATTATTATTGTCATTATTAGTAATATCATTATCTGAACAGTGTAATATACAGATATATTTATATTGTATATAATATATATATAATAATATAGATGGAGGATGTCAACTAAGTTTGACAATGTCACTTAATAAAGACAAGATATTACGACCAAAATAGAATATATGAATTATGGATTTAGATTAGAACTTTATTAAAATTCCGGTTCAGTATATCTCTATAATTCGGATATAATATGTTAAAATATTCAATATGTATCATGTATTTATTATGTACAATGTATATCATTAATAAAGCTTAACAGTCAACTATCCATTTTAAAATGAGACTAATCTACTCAACCAAATATCCCTTCTACTATCTGAATGTAATAAATTAAGAATACCAAATTTCAAAATGGCAGTATAACCAGATAACTATTTGAGATAAACTACAACAAATAGACAGTTGAGATGAAATGAAATACTGTGCGTCACGTATTAAATCGCCCATAGGGCTAGCAACTGAGACAAGTGTCAGGTACTAACCATGTCAGAGCAGTTCTAAATAGTGAGGTGAAAATATTCAGCAAGTTCATTATACAGCTACATCATCTCAAAAACACATCTACTCAGAAAACATCACAGTAAAAATTAAAATGCTAAATAAATGTTTGAGTTGAGAGTACGTACCATGCTAAATAAATGTTTGAGTTGAGAGTTATACGTACCATGCTAAATAAATGTTTGAGTTGAGAATACGTACCATGCTAAATAAATGTTTGAGTTGAGAGTACGTACCATGCTAAATAAATGTTTGAGTTGAGAGTACGTACCATGCTAAATAAATGTTTGAGTTGAGAGTACGTACCATTGGGATGCCACATCTCGGAGACAAACTTCATGACTGGGGGACGGTTTGGATACTCCTTTGGGAACTGTAGGATAGCTCTGAAGTAACCTCCCTCGCTGGGAAATAAGTTACAATTAGAAATAAGTAGTTAGTAAGTGATTAGTAAACAATTTTGTTGTAGAACATGATTTCACATTAATCACTGAAGTAGTTTGGAGTTCACCCAAAAATTCTACGTTCTGACTTCTGACCAGATTAATATCTACCGTCTTATAGCTAGCGTCAAACTTTAAAACAAAATTACATGCTAATTAAGTACTGTGATTTGGTTCCGTCATCTTGAAGATCCGCTATGTAATTACCCAAGTAAATACACTGGCCAGTGTGTCACACCATACTCTACACAACTTCACGAGAGTTTGTCACACACGGGCTGTGTAGTGTGTGGATGGTCCGGTCTGTCTCTAATTTTGCGATATGACACCAGGGATATTATTTATGTTTCCAATGTGTTTAGTGGAGTAAGTACTTACAGTGTACTTACAGTGTACTTACAGTTTACTTACAGTTTACTTACAGTGTACTTACAGTTTACTTACAGTGTACTTACAGTGTACTTACAGTTTACTTACAGTTTACTTACAGTGTACTTACAGTTTACTTACAGTGTACTTACAGTTTAGTTACAGTGTACTTACAGTTTACTTCTAGTGTACTTACAGTGTACTTACACTGTACTTACACTGTACTTACAGTTTACTTACAGTGTATTTACAGTATACTTACACTGTACTTACAGTTTACTTACAGTTTACTTACACTGTACTTACAGCGTACTTACACTGTACTTACACTGTACTTACACTGTACTTACACTGTACTTACACTGTACTTACACTGTACTTACACTGTACTTACACTGTATTGACATGATATGATGCACAGTGTATTGAAACAGGATTCAGGATTGGTTCACTGAATCACGCTATCACGTGACATAAATTACGATTTGCCACATGCCTCATTTTCTGATAATAATTCGAATACCAATATTATGCTATATAAGCCATGCTATATACAATATTATGCTAAAGATGTCCGTGTTGTCTAATTATCGCTACTATAACTAACTAGAAAATGGGCCCAAAGATCACCTTGAAATTATGGTTAAGGCTAATGATGATAACTGCTAATGATGATAACTTACTAGAAAGTTTCGTAAGGTCCAATGACCATGACGTCCCATTTGAAGAGATCGCTATCATCCACTAGTCCGGCTGAGAACCCCTCTGTACTGGATTTCTGCAACTCTGAAATACCTCTGTTAAATACCATTTACAGCTGCATTTTATTTTGTTCCAGAAGCTTGTTATTCTTTTCTCGGCGGGGGGGGGGTCAATAACAAATCGCCTTAGTTAAAATGTTACCGCAAAATCAATGGGTCATGGTCTAGAATATTGTTGATGGTTCCGTAATAATATTAAGTAATAATATTAAGTAATTGAACTTTACCTAAAAGTTACTAAGTAATAATATGAAGTAATTAATTAATTAATAATTACTTACAAGTTACTAAGTAATAATATTAAGTAATTAATTAATTAATTATTACCTACAAGTTATTAAGTAATAATATTAAGCAATTAATAATTACCTACAAGCTGTTTCTTCAGAAGCAGCGCTGCTGCTGATTCCATTACCTTCTAACTTTTCTAAATAGAGACGATTCATCAAAATAAATACATCACGCAGAATTGGAGGGATCCTGTTAACATAACTTTGAAAATTTAATAAGTATGATAAAATAACTTTGTATTAATTTAGTACGTATAGTTATTTAAAGAAACGGAATTATTATATATTATAAATTCTTTAGAAACATTGCTAGAAAATTGTAGTGTAATGTACATTGTACAGGGTGGGTGACGTAATGTACAGGGTGGGTGACGTAATGATCTCTGGTAGAGAGTGGGGGTAATGGAGTAATGGGTATTAATAATAATATACTTTTGATTAGTAATAAGTATACGAAACTCATCACGATCAAAACCACTATGTAGTATGTACCTACTAGGGTTAGGTTTGGGGGGGGGGGGGTCCAGTGTGTATATTAGAGATAATACAGGGTGGGCCATAAGTCAGTGTGCAAACGTTTGAGCTTATTTCTCAGTCATTGAGTGCCCGATTGAGATCATTTTTTCTGCTATGACTTGCTATCAATTATCATCAGTCATCAGTTATTTGAGGAATATATCAAATCGAGTTATAATTATGTTAAGTTTTTAGATATTTTGAATGATTGGATTAAATAAAATTGTAATGCATTGTCTCAAGTCTCAAACGTTTCCACATTAATATATGTATTATCTATGCATTATATAGCGAGCTTTTATCAGATTCAATAATGAAACGGTTATCTTAAGAAGTGACTTTATAAAAGTAAGCTCAGTAGAAAAGCATAAAAACAGCTCATGAATTGCTGATAATGTATGCTAGCATTCGTTACGTCACTTCGAGTGCGTTTCACTCTAAAAAGGTCGGCAAAATATTAGCTAACAACTGATATAATGTAGCGGACCGATTTGAAGTTGGCTTCTCAAATTATTAAAAGCTATATCCTCTCTTCGATCTCAGCTGTCAACTTCAAGTGAGTTCACTACAAGAAGACATCAGTAACAGTTACTTTAAAGAAATGAGCTTCCATCAAATTGATCCAAAATGCACTTCAACAGTTCAACCTCGAAATAAATATCAGGACAATAGTTGCGTACTATTCTGTTCCCAGTTCAGTACTGAGCATCCAGCTGGCCCCTAACTATAACCCACTTGACAGTAGGTAGGTTCCTGGCCCTACAATACTGCACCAGGACCCTGTGGTGCTGCTGCAAAGTGTTATTCTCCCCCTGTATCCGCGCAGTAATGACCCTCTGTTGGCCGTGTTTTGTTATCTGAACCTTCGCAACTTTCCTGTTTCCAGAGTTGGGTTTCTTAGGTTTCCTCGTCTGGAGGTCCACTATAACACCCTCAATAAACCTGGGCAGGGCAGGTCGCCACTCTCGACCCTTTTTATTTACCAGCCACATAGGGCACTCAGCCTCAAAGTCTAATCTCTTATCAATCAGAATGTCTCTGTTACTCCTATGCCAGAAGCCCTTGTCCTCTTCCTCGCGCCACTCTGAAGTAAACACGTCTCCTTGCCTTCTCTTGCTGTACAAGATACCAAAGTCTTTATCTGCATTTAGAGAGGGGTAGTTTGAAAGAGAGTTGTGCTGTTCAGCATCATGGTTCAGCAGAGGAGTGGGGATGTAGGATGTAGGATAGGGGATGTAGGATTGGAGTATTGATGTTATCCTCCTTTCAGCAGCTGCATTCAATATTCGTAATGAGTTTTGTAATAAATTCCTTGCCATGTATATTACATATATGACCTGAAACATGAAATATTGTGTTAAAATTTGTTTAACCAACGAATGCACTCAAACATGGTATTAAATCAATAGTATTAATACTATTAATACTTTCAATACATTTTACAATCTTTAGAGACAATTTTCCTATTAGAGGATATGCGCAGTAGAAGTGAAACAACCCTCAAAGTTTACAATATTATGTTAGGTTTAGTAAATTAAATGAACAATTTGACTGCAAGTAGAGGTCTATGAATTGCTATTAAAAATGAAATTATGTAACAGACTATAGTAACTATAGTAACGCACGTGACTATCCTTTACGGCGTTCCATTTAGGTCCATAAAAGAGAATACGTTTATATTTAACGAGATTTCTAAATAATCGTACAGTTGTCAGATGAAGAGGGCGCCTGAAATTGTAATCCTCTTTTTAATAGCCATTACCTGCTACATTAGGTCTGCCTTGATATGAATACAGTAACTCGATCGGCTAGTTTAAAATTGGTTAATGATAAAGTTATGGCCCAGAGATTTTTCGACAATTACCAGGACTTGAAGGGGATGTATTCATAAGAAATTATTGTACTTAAATTTATGATCATGATTTGCTTCTATTTGGTAAATTTGGCACCCTGAACATAGGCTATTGGGCTAATCTCGAAAAAATTTGCCCAGAGATCAAAATCATGCTGACAGAAACTATGCTGACAGAAATTATGTATATTTAATTTTGAAGGAGCTGCAAAACTAATTTCCTGAGCCAAGATTACCGACCAATATCACGATCATGCAAAATTAATGCAGTTTTAACGTTTGGGAGGAGTATTAAATTTGGATTGCGTTACAGGTTAAAAAACAATAACGTTTTGCAAAGTTAGTTTAAAAGTATTTATGCCAAAATCAATGATCATATCCATCTATCCTATCCATGTATCAGATCAAGGCAGAATTGTAAATACAATTCAGTTAACTTTAAGTTCGGCATACGAAAATAACAAATAAGTAGGTCGCTAATAGAATTAATAATTCTACAGATTGTATTTAAATTAGAAATTATTGTAAGACTGAAAAAATTTTAGTAATCGTATTCTATTTTCAATTAATACGTCGTTACGGAAATTTGATCAAAAAGCCACCAAATAATAGTTTTTACTAACTTTGATCAATTCCTTCAATAGAAATATTCAAAAATCAATGATCTTAAACTAAAATATTATAATGTTTATTATATTATATATAAATACAAGGGATCACCTCTTTAGGTCACATTTTTATGGGTGAAGATCACACTTCAAAGATAGCCAATATCATGAATTTTTAATAGAGGGAGCCTGCCCTAATAAATATGAACATTAAAAGATTAATGCGGCAATTATTTAATCCCTAAGTAAGTTACATAGAGGTGAACTGGTGTTATGACATTTAATAGCTGCTCATCATAAGGTAATAGCACACAGGTACTAACATATATATTCATTACAAAAAGAACACTGAAGCTCAGTACAGATAGTAATTATTGACACAAACGTCTAAAAATGACTTAAATAACTTTTAAACCAGATATTTTAACTTTCCTCGATAAAATCTCTCCGATAATTATGTATCATACTACTTGTTAGCTTTAGTTCAGTTAACAATAAGATAAAACAAAGTCAATCCATAATAAAAGTATTGTTGTAATTTAATTGTTGTAAATAATAAAAGGTTCGGGCTCTACAAATTCCATTCCACACCACGTGCTATCTAATCGATAAATTTAGAAATTATAATAAGTTTCGCTTCTGTAGTGTATTTAAAACATTTAGAGAACTGATTCAAAGAATAAATTATTAAAGTTAATACCAAGTGAACAAAGGATAACTAAACAGCCCGTTGTAATATTTAATACATAATAACATATATCATCACTTGTATCATCTATTTAATTTTAAAACTACATCACCAGTTATACCAATTTACCCTACTTAGTAAAGAAATTTGATCTCTAAAAACTACAAAGATATTGTTTGTGAACCATAGGTTAATGTAAACTAATCCCACTAATTGACAAACCCAAAGGTGAGCTTATTAGTTTTTATCCAAAAATCTTTTGAAAATTGCACAGAATATCATTATTTAATATGCTGCAGAAGAACAAAACATTGAAATTACATTTATAACGTATATATTAATTATACAATATACATGTTAATTTTAGTACTACTAAATACTAATCGCGAATCTCATAAAACGATTAAATTTAAAACTATGATAAAGAATAAATTCAAAACTATGATAGAGATTCAAAGTAAGCGCTCAAAAACATTGCTTTAGAACAGTGCAGGAATTACTATTATATTGTACAATAAATTTGTGTTTAGTTATTTCAACTTTAAATCAGCCTATTTAATAACATAAGAATGCAATGTAATATATATAAATTAGGAAAAGATTTTAATTTCAGTGTTGAATGATAACCTTCAACGGTACAAAACTTGAAAAATGAATCCAAACGGAATATGAGTTCATATTAAAATCCTCTGAATATAAAAGAAATATTCCAGATAATAAATAAACATTAGGTAGCAACAAATTCTGGAAAAATAAAAATGTGTAACCTCCCAAATCAGCAAGACCGTTGCAAATGCTTGCAGTCAAATACTTTAACAACATCACAATTAACTATTTCAGCGTCAGAGACTTCCAACTCGAACACTGATATGCTATTGTTGCCAATACCACAGTGCGCCAGGTTCAGTCCCAGGGGTCGGGACGAGAATTGCAGCAGGTGTTTTGTTATCACTCGTATCATACCTCCGTGGGTGACTATGAGGGCGTTGTTTTCTGGTGTACTGTCCTTGAAATTCTTAATCATTTCATAAAGAAATTCACTCCATCTGATGAGATGTATAGTTTTTTAAAAAGAAACATGTTTTCATTTTGGGGGCATGTTCAGATCAACAATTATTAGCTTGACCTCTGTAAATGATTAAAAACAGTATATTTTCATGACATTTATTTTTGACCAATGATGAAAGCAAGCTTCTAAATTCGGGATAGCCTGTGGCAGGCAACGCCCGATTTTAATGCTTCTACAGACCTACACAAGTGCAAGTAAGTAGGTAAATATTTCATGCTAGGCATGTGGCACCCATTACGGTAACCATCCATTGAGTTTTTGCCAAACTAAAAACAATTCATTCAATAAATAAGTTAAAATAATTCCATTTTATAAAACCTTTTCTGTAATTTATCATCCGTCTCGACACCAGGAAGATGGTGGTATTCAGTAGACTCCCCATTATTGCACTTGGTTGCATTCTTGTACTCTTTCCAGGGTTTCCCTGACCAGGACCCATAATCACGCTCCCGCAACCTCTTGTCAAACTTGTCTGGAGTTTTGTAGCCGATTTGACAGAGAGTGTCTTGAGCCCTCCCCAGATCACTGCTGAATACCTGGTCGTTGGAAATTCTATTAAAAAAGCAGCTAAACCAAGGCCAAGGTTATTCAATTGTCTTTCATCGACAGATTCAGCAGATTCTATTTAACATAGGTTTAGACCTGGTGAAAAATATGGTTTTCATTGCAATTAATCTTACCACACTGAAATTTATTTCTTGTAGAGCTTTCCCTGTGTTTGCTGAACTTTGGACTCCTAGAGCAGTGAGAGGAGAATCTTGATGTCCTTGAAGAACACCTCTAGCATTAGCATGTGTTTGGCCATGACGCACAACATATAAACTAACTTTCATCACTGGAGTAATTATTCATCATAATATAGCATACTGCAGTAAATTGTGAGAATTTTGCTTTAGTACTGTAGTACAGAGAATGGGATGTGGCTATGGTATACCTAGATGGTGGTTAATTAACTGATGCTTAATCAATCGTTTGTGACTTTTTGCGGATTTGAATTTTAATACAGATTTAGAAAAAAAGTTGCAGGAAGGTTACAAACATTGTTCAATAATTGCTCTAAAAATAATTTATTGTGACGATAAAACGTGTATAAATAGTATTAAGCTAGAAACATAACAACACAAAAAATATGGAAAGAAGTCAATCTCAGATCAAATGACTGCAGTCGAAAAGCTTCAATACTTTACAGTTTTGTATTGTTTTATCACTTATTTCTAATTCAAAATGTGACACACAATTGTAGCCTATTGGACAATTAGTTGATTGTACATTATGAGCATCATAACTGGAGTTTTCAAGTAGAAGACAAACAAGTGCTCTTATCGTTCCTTTATGAGATACAATGAGAACATTCTCATTATAGGGACTCTTTTCATGCATATTCACTAGATCAGCCAAGAAGTCTTTTAGCCTGAAAAACAAGTATAATTGATTGTGTACATGTATTATGCAACAGTATCAGTATATCAATCAACGGTACCAAGAGCAAACTAATATTGTCTATTTCCTTTGAACAGTTTCGGGAAAAAGAATGAATCACTAAACACTTGAGGCAGAGTTGAATCTTAACAAAAATGAAGGTATTTTCAAAGTCGAATAAAAAGATTCTGAAGGTTAATTTCAAAATTTTTGAATATATCCTGAAAGTTTCAGGATGATTACTCAAAAAATGTAGGAAAAGATAGATTTTTTGACATGATTTTCAGGGCACGATTTTAGACCCTGTCTTGGTGGTTCACCTTATGTTCATTTCTTCATTGGATTCAACTCCAGGCAAATCATGCAGAAAAATACCATCTTTCATATCTTTGCTGGCATCAATATATTCTGACCAAAGTTTCCCAGACCAAACTCCAAAATCACGCTCTCTCAAGCGCTTATCAAAGGTTGCACTAGTATAGCCGATGTTAAGAAGAGTGTCTTTTGTCCTACCAAGGTCACTACAGTGTATCTAAAAAGTATAATTTATGTAATTTTAGTATTGTGATCCACAACCTCACAATTTCAAGAAAATTATATGTTGACTTTCCTGAAATTTTGGCTGAAGGACTGCATCAACAATAATGTATACTATTATGCAGTGTGAAAATTTCTCATCTGTACAAAATACCTTTTTTACTCACCAATTAATGATTTTGACTCCAAAAGGAAGCAGTGGTGAGCACTTGCTGTTATTTGGGACAACTTATTGGTTTGAGAGGCAGGATTCATTTTAAGTTAAATTATTATGATGAGAAGCTTTACCTTGTTAAAAGATGTCCTATTCAACAACTGTCCAGTCCTGACAGAGTTATCTACCCCCATCTCAGTAAGAGGAAAATCTTGATGGCCTGCAATAAGCCGTTCAACATTGGCAAGGGTTTGTCCATGTCTCACAATGTATATGTGCATGTTGTGCACTCAACACCTTAACTATAAGCAAAATAATTATCATGGCGGACTTTGGGGAAAACAAAAACCTGCAGTAGATCCGAGTTTTTGGTAAGATTCCAGGGTTTTGGTTTTTGGAGTCCCAAATTGTTTAAAAATGGATGGATGAGGCCTCAAATCTAAAGATGAGGTATTTTTGATAATTGCACGAATATACTTACCCTTTAGTTCTATGTAATGGGCAAATAATACAGTGAAAAAAATGTGAGCAAATTTTATTTGAGAAATAAAATTGTATAAAGTAAAGTAAAGTAAAGTAAAATTTATGACATCACATCATCACACATGTCTACAAAATATCATCGCACTATGTGAAAAAATATATAATAAATATTTCCCCACCAACATTAATTGATTTATGTGAGTTACTAAAATGACCATATATCTTTTCTCATACATACAACCACTGCACTCCACAAACACACTAGTACCGAGCAATCGCACTGTAAAACATGCTCACGATACACTCAAAATTGGAAATATTCAACGGCTTGTATATGAAACTCACACTTACACTCAGTGTTTTTTTTTTTTTTTTTTTTTTTTTTTTGATAATAAGAGAAGGAAGCAACTCACGGTATCACTCTCAGAAGAGACATGTTTCATCATTTACCGGAATTGCAACCAAATATACACAATAAGGTTTGGTACTTTATCCGTACATCCCCTTTAATAGCTACAATAAATTGTCTATAAAATTTACATTAACAAACTTAAGAGACCTCAAAGCTCGTCTTCTGAGGAATGAGATTGAAGGATACGTCATCCAGTCCAAGGTGCTGGGCTTTTTGTCTTCCTCTGATTCCCCTGAGTGCTATGAGTGTGCTTCGTAGCAGATCAAACCTGAATCGTGTTCTGATGTGATTTTTGACCTGGCTCTTAGCTTCTTTATTGTGGTCAGCTATCCTTTCAGAAATACGATCTACAAACACAGTGCAGAGTGGGCCCATACCTCCAGATGTTGTAAAAACTAGTGGGACAAAGGACCCTTTCTCTGACTGAAGTACTCTCTCCTCATATAGATCTTTCTTCTCTTTCTCATGGGCACTGTAGATTTTATCTAGTGGCTTAAATGTATTGGAGTCGCAATTAGGATGAGTGACCCTGATGTCAAAGAATGTTCTTTCGAATGGTGCATACAGTCCAACAGCTGCTACGTCCAGACGGGCTTCATCCTGGGTGTTGGTCTTCCTGGAGAATGAAGTTGGTTGGACAGGTAGGAGTGCAGGTTCTATCCTTACATCCTTACACTTTGCTTCTTGAAGGAAGAAAGCTGCAGTGTCTCTAATGGCATTGTGGCGCTCAGTGTACACCCATTGTTAACTAGTATTACACACTGGTAAACTCTACGTAACGCGCGAAAATAATAATTCTATGGCGTTTTCATTGTCACATCTCACGTCGACGGGATTAAACGCGCGCGCGTAACATCTTATCTTACTGCTATCTCAACGAATAAACACACAACGACTTTGACAATTGACCGACGACTTAACGATTGTGAGTTATGACGGACTTAACTGTATGGGTCAACTACTAAAACTGCATTGTATACTATCTTAATCATTATACTGGACATGAGATGACGAAGTATCTTAAGCAGCACTTTATACCTCCACTTAGAACTTGATTAGTCACGAACAATAGAATCATTATAAATCAATACAATAAAACATCTTGATCAATAAATGCCTAGCAGCACCAGACAGCGGCCGTGTACCTTTTTCGACTCCACGGAGTCCCTGATGGACTTTTGTTTACTTTTGTTAATAATTTGACCGCAACCTTTCTTTCTCGAAACACAAATCCTACTGTACTTCATTACAGTATTAAGATAATATAAAGCAAATCATGTGAATATATGACTACGAAATAGATCTATAGATTTGTCCATAATATTTAATACCGTATTGATGGTTTTGAATTTTGTATATTGAATTTTAATGTGAAGCGTTTACTCTCCCCCCTCGGCAATTAATTAGAAAGTTAGATTAATGACAATAATTGCCAAATGACGTAGTAGATATAGATGTTCATTGTTGTAGAGTGATTTCAAGAGTAGTGGTCCACAGGGGTCCGAAAAAGCCGTACAGGCACTTGGGTCCTTATCCTTGTCACTAGTCCCAATTGGATTCACTTTACACAAAAGATGAACGTTTACAATTTAGACGTACACATTGACACGATATTTATCAGAAAGCAAACAGTATAAACAATAAAATAATACGTGCGTGCGCGGCTTGAGCCGCGCCGCATAACAATTTATGCGTTTAGGGGCTGGAGTACGCGTGTTTACAGATTAATGAATTGTTGCATTGTAAATATTTAAAGTTGACGATATATTATGATTTAATAGTAAATTTTTCAAAGCTGGCTTTGGACTTAGGTAAAATTATTGTAGCGCGATGCACTACTGGGTCGCGCGCGCGCATCCAATAATGCTTCTCGCAACCACAGATCGGCGAGATGCGAAGGATTGACATCGTGAATCAAGTAAAATTATAACTTATTTATTTTAAAGAAAAAACCACGGATAGTTTTAAATTTACATAGTCGTATAACTATAACCAAGTTAATCCTGTTTTCAAGAATGCGCGGCTTTGGCGGCCAGTTATTGACTTGTACATAAAATTGAATTTTAAATAGAAATGTGAATGTATTAAAATTTAAAACTTTCAAAACGGAGGCTCATAAATATTATTATATTATGATTGTAAAATAAAGGATAAAATTTTAAATTTGTTTCACTAAAAAAAATTTGTTTCACTTCATCAAATACAACATTTAAAAAACAATTTTATCAAAAACATTATCCTATTTTAAAAACTTTCCAGTGGAATAAAAATTTATAAAACGCTTCTTTGCCACATAAGGATGGAACCAAAGATAATTGTTATGTTTCTCTTTATTACTGACATGGGTGACCTGTTTGATGGGCAAATAATTTGCACACAGTAATCGATACGTGTATTGGTGGTGTTGGGCAGGTTCAGGACTGCAGCCACTTGAGTTTAGATTAGGATACACAAACACAAACAGAAACGTGGTTGCGGGACAACAAAATGCAATTATAATATTGATTACGATCACACCGACTATAATATTTTAGTGAGAAAAATTTAAGTGAGCACAATCGATCAAAAGTTGTTCAGCTAAAATATTTGAGTGAATCAAAAAGAGGGTGCTAAAAATTCGAACAATTTTATTCGAGTGAAAAATTTAAGTGAAAATTAAATATAAAATTATTTAGACAATATACACATAATTGTTTTGTAGCGCGATGCACTACTGGGTCGCGCCGCGCATCAAATAATTCTTCTCGCAACCACAGATCGGCAACCGCAGATCGGCGAGATGCGAAGGATTGACATCGTGAATCAAATAATTGTTACAATGACCCTATATAAAAACAACCTTTCAAAAAAATCAATATTGAATATATTCCCTATCTCAAATATTTAAGTGAAAATTTGCCCATGGAACTATATATATAATATAAGCAATAAGAGGGTAAGCAATTTAACTGTATCGAAGACAAGATCGAAGTTGTAGCGTGATGCTTGCTCTAACCAGAGCCCTCTCGCTTGCAGTATCACGCGACCGCCGAATATATATTCTAATTGTGAAACAAGCGCGTCACGCAGTACGCGTATACACATGGCTATACTATGTGAAGTACACATAGCCATGTGTCTACGCGTACTGCGTGACGCCTAGGGAAGCCGCGCGGCGGGTCATACAACGTATGACAAGACGGACATTGGTGGACAAAAATGGACATTGGTGGACATTACCGGACATTGGTGGACTTTAGCGGACAAACATTTTGAGAATTTGTGGCAACTTCTATGTTCTATGTATTATAATTTTGTACAAAGCTAACGATAGGCCGTGCGACATCGACCGTAAGACGCGCGCGCTGACCATTGAATGGTATTTTAATTTTAGCTCGTATTTTGGCAAGCCTATTATTTTGAAAACAATCAAAAAGTTATGATACTTTTCATATAACAATTTTGTCGAAATTTGGTCAGCTTACGTAAACACTTATGTTCATTGTTCTACTGAACTTAAATTAGTTTGACATTTGAGCAATTTCGATGGCCAGAATTTGAGTTATCAACGAATTTATACATATTTTGTCATTTTTAGACCTCTTAATCAAGACCAATCCCTCCCAACTAATTTAGGTTCGGTAGTTGTAGCGCGATGCGTTACTGTGCCGCGCCGCGCACTCAATAAGGATTCTCACAGCGAGATCGGCGAGATGCGCTACTGTGCCGCGCCGAGCTGCCATGAATTGACATCGTCAATTAAGTTCGGTAGGCTAATATGATTGGAAGGTTCTGACAAATTTTTCAGCACGATTCATGTACGTTCATAAACCGAAGATTTAACAAAATAATACGACAAAAATCAACGAATTTGGTCAAATTACGCGACTTTTACAC